ACATTTAAACAGGCGTTATTTTCAAATTAACAGCGCAGTGGGAAGTAAACTTGTACTGCGTTTGCTGTAGGAAAACTTTCATGCATACATACACACGCACATACATGCATGCATACACACGCACATACATGCATGCATACATATGTACATGCGCACATACATACATACGCACATACATACATACAAACAAATATACAAAGTATGGTTAATTTTTTTTTTAATTTTGCAACGCAGCAAGGGGAGTTGTCAAAGAAATTAAATAATTAAAAAAGAACGGCAAACCGTTTTATATATATAGATACATATATTTGTGTAATCTTTGAACTAACAGAACTAACAAATTGCATTTATTTAATCGAGCGCTGTTCAGAACTTGAGCTTGCCCAGAGTATCGGAGACTTTGGTGGCACTGGCCGCCGGTTTTTTTTTGTTCTTAATGGGCGTGGCTGCCGGCTTAGGCTTCTTAACGACCATATCCTTGTGGAGTACCTTGAGTGTAGCATCCACCTTCTCCTGCTTGGCCTTGACTGTCTCTTTGATCTGAAAATATTGAATTTGATTTAGGTTTGGATTGCCTTTGGGGTTGGGGATTTGTCGCTTTCTTCACCTGCTTTAGCTTGCCCTGCACTTCCTTGGGCTTCTTCTTGCCCTTGTTGTTGGCCACCTTGAAAACGTTCTTTGACTTTTTGGACTTATTTAGAGCCGGCTTGGCGGCCGCTTTGCCTGCAGCTGCTCCAGCAACCGCTCCTGCTCCCTTCTTAGCATTGGCCTTGTTGCGACCCATGGCGAAGCTGCAAATACAAAGGAGAGACACGTTTTTTTGTATGTAAAAACTTTATTGTTTCCTTGATCAAACACATTTCACTTTTGTGGCTGCTGCTGTCGCTACGTGTTCCTCCTTCTGCTCCTCCTCCTCTGCAGGACAGGGACGCTTGCGCAATGTCTGCTTTGCTGTGGTCAGCATCGTTCTGTTCAGCCTGAAGGTTACTCTATACATATCCTTGTTGGGCGCCACATTACGCACAAAACTGATGCACTGCAGCTCGTCGCCTAACAATGCGCCCAGATTGCTTTCCACCAGCTGCTGCACCAGGATCTTGGTGTTCTCTCCTTTGGCAAAGGAATAAACATGCACTTGCGGATAGTTGAGGCTCGCTGGCAGCTCAGCCAGCTCTTCAACTGTGTATAAGCCGCGAAATGCGTCCAAAAATTCGACAGCCATTGCCGGAAGATTCATGGTAATGTGGATACTATAGGGTGTGGCTGCTGGGGTGCGCCAACGCTCCAGCAAATCCTCACGCAACTCCTTCAGTATAAACTCCCGTCCGTCCTTGTTGTACATTTTGATGTGCGCCAGACACTTGTTGCGCTTGGCATTGTGCTGCAGCCAGTGAAAGCTGACTGGATTCAGATCGTTGGCCAGCACCTGGCAGCGCTTCTTGGCTGTTGGTACACTGAATGGGCCAACGCCAGCGAAAACATCGTACAGCACATCGTTTGGCTGCAGCAGCTTGACAATGCGCTCGTGCTCGGTGGACAGACGTGGATTCCAATATACCTTGGAAAAGTCAAACTCAAAGGGAATGCCGTTCTCTTTGGTCTCCACCTGATACTCCGGTTCGCCGCATATGAGCTCCAGCTGAAAGTTGCGGTAGGTGTTGTCAATGGAGGCCGCCTTGTTGACCACGGTGCGGCAGTTGGGCAGTTTGTCGCGCAGCACCTCGCCAATGAGCTGTTTGTAGGGCAGCAGATGATCGCGCAGGTTCAAATGCACAATATGGCCAATGCGTGAAAAGGAGGAGAGGCCCTCCTCGTCAGCCGGCAGCACGCTCTTCAGTATTTCATTGGCGCTCCAATTCTCGTAGCTCAACTCGAGCTCCGCGTGGCAAAAATTCTCTGACGTCACCTGCTGCTGCTCCAGCTCTGCTGTTGGCAGTGATTGCCAGTTCTTGACGGGCAATGGGTGCAACAGAATTTCACGCTCATTTTCTAAGGCACGCACCGGCTGCAGATGCTCCATTTTGAGCAGCAGCTTTTTCACCAGCGGAATCACACGCTGCACCTGCAATTCGGGCACTCTTAGCCTGGGAATTTGCACGCGTTTTTGAAAGTCCGCGCGCTGCAGCACAGTCATGCCACGCACAGAGGCAGGCGGCAGCAGCTCCGTGCAGTCCATGTTGCGATAATAGTGGCGCAAGCGTTTGGTTATTATCAGCAAATTGAAGACTTTGGAAGGGGAGGGCCTGGTGACCACGGAAAACATCAAAAAACGTGCATGTAGGAAAGACACTCTCGTTGAGACAGTTTTACGCGCTTTGTAGTTGTTTTAGTTTATGTCAACAAACAGCAATTGAGCAGTTGCGCATCAGCCAACACAAATAAACATTCAGTTTCTTTTAAAAACACAATTATCAATGAAAATTACCTTAATTCGTAGATATTGCAACGGCAGCGAAAATAAGTGAACTATAAAGTTGCATGGAACTATGGAACTAACTCCACTTGCGCATGTTCTTTTGCAATTGGTCTGGCAGCGCCGCAGAAAGCAGCTGTTTTCGGTTTTCTAAAATGAGCAGCGCGCCAGCAGATGTTATTGAAATTAAACCAAAAATAGAGTATTTAAGGTGAGTTCTGAATGATATTAACATAAACTATACTGCAAAAGTAATTTTAGTGCTGAGGAGCTTATTGCCCAACGTCATGCTGAAGCTGAAACGCCGTATAACGGACTCAAACGAACCAGCATTGAATGCAGCGCAGCCGAGCAAGAGGAACTGAAAAATGCCTATGGTAAGCATGCACATAATTTGGGAATAACATTTTAATTATACATATCTTTATAATATTGCAGCTAATATGCGCCGCCAGCTGTCTGCTAGGCGCATCGAGCGACAAGCGGGACGCGCTGTAGCTATTTGGCGGCAGGATCAACAGGCAGTCGAAGTGATGCGCAAAGATGGCAAATTTGAGAGCTTTGGCTATAGCCAACAAGGCAAATTCTATTTGGAATATTACGAGGCTTTATTTCTGCTGGAATTAGTGTGTATATATATATGGAAATATTGTTGCGATTTTTATCATGTCAAGTTATATTAACATAGAACCGCCTTCAACTGGAGTTTTGCGATATGATTGTGTCCGTGGAGCAGGCCTACGTATTGCTGCTTGGCGAGGCAGCTAGCGACAAGTACAACAATTATTTGGTATACTCAGCATTGTCTCGCGCTGGTTATATAGTTATCAAGCATCAAGCTGCCTGCCCAGCGGCACAGACAACTTCAACTAGCTTAGCAACAAGCGAGGACTGTATTTGGGCTCTGTTGGAGGAGGCTCTGGGCAATAGGCCTGTTTCCGCTCACATTAAAGCCTCCGTGTTCTATAATGGCACACAGGCCCGCATGGCGGAGTTAAAGCAGCAGATAATAAGCCAGACATCGGCTAGCACAGATGAGAACAGCATGGAGAGTGATCTGCAAAGCAACTTTAAATTTGAGACGCGCAAACGAAAGGCTCAGTCAGAGCCGCAAGAGGAGGAGGCCAGTAAGCGAGCAAATACATCAAGCAAAAGCCTCGTTGATAATCTTAAAGCGGAGGCGATCTATACCAAATTTCAGCAAACCTTCGAAAAATTGGATATAGTGCAGATGCGAGGCGCCGACTACGACAGCGATATAGATGTAACATTGCGCAGTTTTAAGATCAGCTTTGATTTACATATGCACAACGAGGGTTTCAGACGCAGTGCGCCAAAGGCGCCCACTTTCAGCGTGGTTATTCTACCCCCCGGAGAGCCATTTCCCACACACAATGAGATCCTCAAATGTCAGCGCCAGCAGCAGGTGCACGCCGCGCCGCTGCTCGTCATATCCGTTAGCGAATCAAAACAAATACAGGCGTTTATTTATTATATCAGCTGCTGATTGCTCAGATCAATCAGCTCAATCAATTGTGTATATATAATTGTTTGCTAATTTATATGCGAGTCAATAAAATGCGCCATAATTATTATGCAACGGTCGAGCAATGTGTATGCTTAAAGGCTGTTAAAGCCTAATATATCAGAAATATGTCATATTTCGTTCAACCTTTTTGAAAATATATAAAAATTTATAAAATTTTGTTGCTGTAATTAACAAAATTGCCAATTAACCATGGAAAATGTATATTTAAATGGTATTCATACATAAATTATATATGCATTTACTTATATTTACAGAATGTGCCAATTGTATGGGTTACGGGTGGACCAAGCAGCGGCAAGACGACTCTATCGCAGAATATAGTTCAGAAATATGGCTACAAGCATGTAGATATCAACGCAATGGTAGAGCGCGAGGCAAGATATATATATATATATGTAGACTTGTATATTCCAGTCTTAGCATGAGATCTTACGCAGATTGAAACCGAATCGGAGCAGGGCAATCAATTTGCAGCAACAGTCAATGATGCCCACGTGGTGCCTTTGGGGGATATCATACTGATGGTGGAGTCGGATATAATGGGCAACAGAAGCGGCATTAGAGGCTTTGTCATTGACGGGTAACTGAAACACAAGCCCTACAGAAATCCCATAAAAAAAACCTATATACACAGCTATCCACAAAATCAAGCGGATGCCACATTGTTGGAACAGCGCATTGGCTCGCCGGATTTGATAATTGCTCTGGATGTGGGCCAAGAGACGCTTGACACGCGTCGCTCCGCCCAGGGTGCGCGTCCCAGCATAGCGGCTAACGTATATCAGCATAATATGCAGGCCATACTGGAACAATATGGCAATAAAACCATGCAAATTGACGGGGATCGCGATGCCTATGCTGTCTTCGAAGAAGTCATACCCAACATGGAGTTACTGGACAAGAGGGGCGAATCTCACATATCAATAGCCCCATAGGCACGACAATATTGTGGATACATTGCCATATTAATCAAAATTGATAGCTTTAAAAATATAAATTTGGAAACTCAGTTGAAAAGAATTGTTCGCTCGTTTTTTTTTTCTATACACTTTTCTACACACGCACCACAGTACGCGGCAGCGATAAGCGATAAAGCTCGACCAAAGCTGCATGGCATTAGCTTTCCGAAACCGTTAGCGAAAGCTTTACACTCAGTCGCTCTCGACACACGCTGCATTAAGGGTGGAAATTCGCCGTAACGGAAAAGAATTGGCCGATACAACAAAAAAAAAAATCAAAATCAAGAACACCGAAATTCTGTGCAAATTAACAACAACAACAACAAGCTTTAGCAGCGACTCTTCAACTCGAAGTATTTCGCGATTTATTTAACGAAACGCCCGCATCAGCGCCTCATATACCTTGTAATATACATCATCATGGTAAGTATGTGTGTGCGTGCGTCTGTTCTAGTTTATTTCTCTATAAACAATTTGTGGCTTTCACTTTGATTTGAAATTGTTTGCGTTACCACAACCAACAGAAACGCAAACGAATGGTTGTTCAGATAGATTAGGGTGTAGGGCAATCCTCGGTACGATTGACCTTTGGACCCTCTCAAAGCTCTACCCACTTGACCTTGTGCAATTTCTACTGAGCATATTACACTAAGAAACAAACAAATTTACATACATACATGCAAACAAGCCGTTTGTTTGGGTTTGCGCGGCATCAGCTGTTAGCTGTAAATACGCAGAGGCGAGCCGGTCACCAGTGTGCCCGTCTGTGCCTGTGAAATTCCCACAACAACAACAGCAAAAATAACTGGCCAAAAAACGCAACAATAGAAACAAACAAGAGAGAACAGTTAACTTTGGCTCGCCGAAGTTTGAATACCCTTGCAGAAACATTTCATATAGAACTTTTACGATATAGTAGTCCTATGTTGATAAGATTTTGTTTATATGCATGGCTAAGCTCGTAAATGCCAAATTTGGACAGTTATAAAAAAGTTGTTCGTTTTGATACGGAAATTTGACCAATCGCCTTACGATATAATGGCTTGAAGTTGATAAGATATTGCGCATATTTAAGGAGCATAGATATCTTAAATAATAAAAAAGTTCCTTATATATGAACTTAGTTTTGACAAATTATTAATATGGAAAGTATATGTATAGAATTTGTATGTATTTAAAGACGTCTCCTTCCATGCGTTACACATTTCGTGACAAACTTCAATTGCCCAGCGCATGGCTATAAAAATAACTGAGTCAAAAAATTAACAACTGAAAAGGCCAAAAAATCTACAATAATAACAAAAACAAAACGAAAACAAAAACAAAATTTCACATTCCAAGCCAGGCGAATTTTTTGACGTCAAAGTCCAAAGATTTGCATAAAATTATCGACAGGTTAAAGTAAAGCTGGCGGCACAGGAATTTCTGGCGGGGCTTGATTCATTAGCGACTCGTCGCCGATCGCTTGGGAATGTGTTTATTGGCGCTGCCCGAACTAGTCAGTCATCATTATGGCGACTCCATGCCGGAGTTTTTTTTTTTTTTTTGCCCTCTCTCTCTCTTCTGTTTGTTAGTTAGGTTTTGGTTAGTTAAATATTGTTTAAGCATCGGCGACGACACAATGTCGCGACGCATGGAATTTTTGCACTAAAAATATTGTATACGTAAATCAACAAAATAGTCGGCTATAATAAAAATTCCTTTAGTTCCGTTTGGGTTTCAAGTGTGTGTGTGTGTGTATGTGTGCGTGTCTGTGTGTTCGGGTTATTAAAAATTGAACACACTCGTTGGGAATTCCAACAACTGTTCTATAAAATATTTAACTGAACTGAATCAATACCAAAACCGAGTCGTATCCTTGCAAATGTCATTCATAGGTCGCTGAACCAATTCACGAAAAACAAATCTTAACAACTTACGTAAATGATATGCCATTGAAAAACATAAATTTCTCACACATAACTAACAAAAACGAAAAAATAAGAAAATGCTTTGAAAATTGTGGGAATATGTGAAAAGAACTCGTGCGAGATTAAGAGCAACAAAATTTATGCGCTACAAATACAATAAGTGTTAATATTTATGAGGAAAAACAACCTGCACTATATCAAAACAGCCCCAAATTCATTCATGTGGCTGCCTTTCCTCTCTCCCCTCTCTCTATACTATATATATGTATATATATATTTTCTTTAATTCCTGAACGAATTGTTCGTTAGGCGCGACAATGCGGAACAGTCGGGGGCCATATATTATATATATATATATATATATATATATGAGTGAGGGTAATAATAATATACAAAAGTGCTACACCTACACAAACTTTGTAGATTCACATGGGCCTAACTGTAGTTTAGGCAGCAATAAAACAAATTTTATTTGTTTATAGAATTTGATTTGTGCGCCAAATTAGAACAAAAGTTTTTTGCGATTTACGCCATAAACTGGAAAGAGCAAAACGAGTGCAAAATCAGTTCTACGGGGCGTTAATTGAGTCGAAATCTAGATTGGATAAATACCAGATCTAAATTGAGCACACACACTCAATTATATACATATATATATATATAGTTGAATGCGTTCAAGATCAATGTCATTTGGCAGCTTACAATTTATGAACACACGCAATTCTACACTCTATATAGTATATTGTACAGATATATATATATTTGTATATATATAGAACTTTTTGAAGGCTGCACTAATTTTGTGTATTTTAAAGTTGGCGGCAAACATTTTGTTTAAGTTGGCACCATGCCAGCAAAACTAATAACTATAATTTAATTATATACACTCTATACTATTAAATTTAGTTAATCATACAGTACACACAATCTAGATTATGAGGGTTTTTACACTGTGAAAATAGATTAATAATTTTCCTCGTCTTTCTATAACTATTTAACTATAGGTGCAGGTTTAATTTTATAGGGCTTTCTCTTAGCAAAGTTTGTATTTTAATAGCTAGATTTTTAAATAATAATAATCCTTGGATTGAGTTAAGCATTCTTAGAGATATTTAAAAGCCCTTCATTGAAATCTACAAATGGGTTTACTATATAGAAAATCTATAAAATCTACCTCCTTCATAGTTTGGTTATTTAAGACAATTTAAATGGATTATATTTGAATAGATAGGTATTTCTTTTTTTGATTGGGTTAGGTATTCATGGAAATATTTTGGATGGGCTTTTAAAATGCTTCATCGAAATCAGGCAAAAAAAAGTTTTTGGTTTAATAGAGATTACAAATCTACAAATGGGTTTGCTATATAGAAAGTCTGTAAAGTTTTACAACTTTCATAGTTGGGTTAATTAAGACAATTTAAACGGATTAAACGAATTGATTTCTAGATTGTTTCTTAAATAAAAAATGTTGCACTTGTAAGCGTTAACTTTTTTCAATATTATTTGTAATTTTTTTTTTGTTAAATCCCAATCGCAATCAATTAAAAAATCAATGAACTTGTGAAGCTATCAAAACCTACAGCCCATATGCAATTGCCTCTATTCACGTTCCATTTGTGTAGTTATTTATGTGTCACCAAATGGCCATGAAGAAGGAGGCCCAAGAGAAACAAGAGAAAGCGGAGCAGCTGCGTAAGGCACAAGCCGTTGTAAGTAGCCCCCGGGATGAGCGAGTCCTACACACACTCTATATAGTATACCACGATTATCAATTGATGTACCATATACTTATGGCATGCACTGTGGCGGCTGAAAATTACACAAAAATAAATAATTAAATTTAGTTGTTTGTACAATTCTTGAACCTCTGCTCCATTTAACTCGACTAAGGCTTTCGTCAAACCTGTGTACACTAACTTGGCTAATTGCTGTTGTGGCCGTTCGGCTATTTGGCTCCTACTAATCCAACCCGCCTTTGCTGCTATTCTTTTTTCAGTCTGACATACCCATCATCTGGATTCTCGGCGGACCCGGCTGCGGCAAGGGCACCCAATGCGCCAAGATTGTCGAGAAATACGGCTTCACGCATCTGAGCAGCGGCGATTTGTTGCGCGAAGAGGTAAGATTTGAGATGCATCCACAGTTGATCTTTTTCCAAGCTTCGCTCTCTCTTGTGTCACACAGGTAGCCTCTGGCTCGGACAAGGGTCGTCAGCTGCAGGAGATCATGACCAGCGGCGGCCTGGTGCCCAATGCGGAGGTCCTCTCGCTGCTGCATGCGGCCGTGACCCGGACCAAGGGCAGCTCCAAGGGCTTTCTCATCGATGGCTATCCGCGCGAGAAGAACCAGGGCATTGAGTTCGAGCAGAAAATTGCGCCCGCCGACTTGGCCCTGTATTTCGATTGCTCCGAGGACACGATGCTGAAGCGCATCCTGGCACGCGCCAACGCCGCCGAGGTGAAGCGCGCCGACGATAACGAGGAGACAATCCGTTCGCGTTTGCAGACCTTCAAGCGCAATACGAGCGCCATACTGGATCTATATGCCGATAAAACCCTGACGGTAACTACATAACTCGGGGCTGCAGATCCGATTGGAACTTGTTTCGGGTTTCCACATCCATAAACCAAATATGTTTGATATGGTTTCATCAAAGCATGGTTCCTTTCAGCTAAGTTTTGATGCAATTGCAATTTGGTTTGAGCTTCAGTTCGTGCTTTTGCAGTCCTAATTTAACTATATAGACTTATTATATAGAGACTCATACTTTCATTTTCCAGATCAATGCCGAGCGCGATGTGGATGACATCTTCATGGAGGTGGTGGAGGTCATCGATTGCGTGCTCCAAAAAAAGCAGAGAGCTGCCAAAGTTTGTTAACCGATTCCACGCCAAAGAAATTATTTAAATAGCAAAACTTTAGAACCTAAAAGCACAAAATCCGCACAAATCAAAGCTTAATACCAAAATATATAAGTAAATCTTAGTCGAATATCTTTGTTTAACTAATCGAAAGGCCTGATTGTGCCCAGGCCCAAACCTTTAGCTGCAATTTTAACCGGTCAAGTGCTTTAAGTAAACATTAGTTTACGCAAATCTATAAGAATTAAGAAATACACAAAAAAAAAGCAATCTACACGACAATAAAGTTTACGTAAAACAAAAACCAATTGCAATTTGCTTTAATTGGAACTTTTTAGTATAGCTCATTAATTAATAAAATGCAAATAGTTAGAGCTAGAGTTCAAATCACGTTTTGTTTTCAGTTAAACTAATTAGTTAGTTGTAAGATTTAATAGAAAACTCAAGGTCATTCTAGACAGAGAGAAGCGAAGAGAAGCTCACGTTCAATTACCTTGACTTGTGAGCGCCACGTGCTATTTAGGAAACGTGAAAATAACCAGTTTGTTGATAGTTTCTATAAATATATAAAATATTAAGTACATTGTATAAAGATGCAGCTCCTAAAGTTGAAGAGTTTCTTGCACTTTGAACTTCTTGAACTCGTATAAGATGTTGTGCATCAGATTCATTCAAATGTCGCCAGACGAATGACTAAGCACTTAAAGATTTATATGAAAGTAATATATATATATGTATATGGATTTGTGATTGATATCAATGAATAAATAACGATTCGGTGCTTGAGCTTTAGCATAGATTCGAACTGACATAATTTATGACAGAACAATAACAAGAACAAAAAATAAATAAATATGAAGAAAAAACTGAAAGTCATAGCATTAGCAAAACTCCAAGCGAATGGAATCATCTGCCTTTTATCACGGAACTGCGTCATCGGACAAAGTGGGCACAACTGGAGTGGACCTCCAAGTTCTCGCCGTAGATCTCGATCTCGATCTCGATCTCCAGCCAAGTGCTTGGCGCTCGAGTGCAAAGTAAATAGATGAATAGCTGGGCACAAAGACTGGCCTTATGTAAGGGCCATGGCCAAGAGAGTTGACTGGTGAAAATTAACGCATCATCGACCAAGCGGGAATTCCGTTTGCCAAAAAGTCAGCATGACTTCAACAAAAAATTTGGCTGCAAAGAAAGACAACAAAAAGGGGAGATTTTTGTTTAAAATGCTCAATTTTTTATTTTTTTCGCATACTTTTTTTTGCGTTTGCTTTCTTTCTTTTTCTTTTTGGCTCAACTTTGGACTTACAATTAAAATAAATAATAGATATTTAAATAGTTATAAACTAAGACAACAAATTCATGCACAATTTGGAAATTAGCTAAGTGCGGGTGAGGGGTAGGGTAGGGCAGGGTAGGGGGGAGTATTTACAAAATATCACACGTATATAAATTATAAAGCTAGACGATTCAGTCAAAGTTCAGATCGCAAAAGCACAGTCTAAATGAGATTATCATCCCGATAAACGTGCTGCTGCTGTGGTTGCTGGTGAGGATGCTGGTGAGGCTGTGCCTGCGTGTGGCTGCCAATTTTGCTCTCGATCCAGTCCAGGTAGTGGGTGACGCGGGTGAATCCGCCGGGAATGCTGGTGCGTTCGCAGCCGCCGCCAGCCTCGCCGTCGGCGGGTCCGAAGCTCGTGATGCCCACCAATGTGTGCGTGCCCTTGAGCACGAGCGGGCCGCCGGAGTCGCCGGTGCAGACGGTCTCATCCTTGAGGCCCTTGGCGCAGAGCACGCCCGCTGTGACGACATCGTACTCCTCGGCGCATTCGGCATTGGAGATCACCTTCAGCTCGGTGTACTGCATCGCATCCGAGTTGGTCATCTCGACCATGGCGCCCCAGCCGCTGGCCACCACGCTCATGCCCGTAAACGGCTCCAGACGCTGCCTGCTGCCGGGCAGCGCCGCCGGCCGTATACGCGACGTGAATGTCACCTCCTGCGGCAGCTTGACCAGCGCTATGTCATTCGCTGCCGTCTCCGGATTGAAGCGTTCGTGCACTATAAACTTATTCGAGCGCAACACCAGGCCGCCCAGCTGCTCGGTGGCGTCGACGCTCCTGGTGCCCAGATAGACATCGAAATGTGTGACGCCCATGGTGCAGTGGCCGGCGGTCAATACCCAGCGCTTGTCCAGCAATGTGCCGCCGCAGAGGATGCGTTTGCGCCACAGCTGCTTGCCGATGAGCATCACTTGGTAGGGGAACTTTTCGATGTTGCCAAACTTGGCCTGGCCAATGGCATAGCCGGCGCTCAACTCCGGCAGGCACAGCACAATTACGAGCAGGCCCAGCACACTGACACTCAATCTTCCCATTTTCTTGTTGTCACTTGTTGTCACTTGTTGATAATGTTTTTGTTGTTGTTTCTGTTGTTGTTGTTGTTATTGTCACGTATGATTCACTTCACGAGTTTGCGTATTTTGGTTGTGCTCGGCTCAAGCGTTCGCCTCGGTTTAAATCCATTCTGACGATGTCGTGATATTTTATAACAATTTCTTTGCCGGTTATCTGTCTGAGCCGCTGAGCCGCTGCGCGCTGAGAGAGATCAGACCCGGCCCAGTCAGCATCTGGAGCCGCTCTTCGTCACGATGATCACGTTGATGACGATGTCGTCTGCTGCTGCGGTAGCTTGTTATTATGACAACAAACAAGTCGTAAAATCTTGTTTTAAAGTCGATCTCGTATCAGAACAACTCTTCTTATCGGGCCCGGGGCCCGGGTTCAAGTGCTTTCCTGTTCGGGCCAATTGCAATTGCTTTGCCCAAGTTGATGTGCGTAATTTTCACAAATTCCAATTAGACAGAGAGCGAGAGCGAGAGAAAGAGAGAGAGGGAGGGAGAGAGAGAACTGGTCTTTGAGCTGCTGCCACGCAGAATTTTGTGACAAATTCGCTTTTAATTATGCAAACGCACATTTTTCAACAGTTTATATTCAAAATATGACAGTTTGTTTTTGTTTTCGAATTTTGAGTTTTTGTTTTTTCTCTCATTTTTTGAAAGTCGCTTCTTTTGCGCAACAACAAACAAAAAGTCAACGGGAACTCCGCTTAGTATTATTAACAGTTTTTTTTTTTGGCGCCATGTGCTTTTTTTATTTATAAATTAATTTACGTCTCAGTCTGAGTCGGAGTTGCCGAGAAATGTTGTTAATTTCGGGTCGCAACTTTCATGCGATTTTAACTAGAATTAAAAGATGAATCAATATGTGGGTTTATGTTCTTCTTCTTTTTTTTCGTTTGTCATTTGTTTTATAAACAAATAAACATGCAAATTAAGTTCTAGTTTTAGTGGGCAACTTCTCGGCTTGACTCAAGAAATGTTTTTGTTTTGTATTTTCTATAAGTTTTCCAGTTTGTTGCTCAGCTGCGCAAAACAAAAAAAAAAAAACAGAAACAAAAATAAAATTAAATAAAATCAAAGCAATAATCAAATTGAAATGGAAGCTAATTGATTTGGCGCCAAGTCGGAATGTTGTTAATGAGAGGAGAACCGCCGACGTCTGTCGCATTAATTAAATGTACTAAATAAACAAATATCGTAAAAACAATACAACAAATGTAACAGACTAAATTTGTTTTTTATTTGTTATGAAATGTCGTTGTGGGAATATAAAACTCTTTGGATTGATTCACACCTCGGCTGGGTAAACAGCTAAAACTAACAAGTAAGAGGTTCTAGTCGGGAGCTCCCGACTGGGGGATACCCTGAATCCTCTTCTTCCGACAGGCGATAGCTATAAAATGAAAAATACTTGATCTATATATACTATTCTAGAAGCTACATGTCAAGTTTGGTGACTCTAGCTCATATTATTTGCCGAAATTGCGCAAAAAACAGGATGTCGATATCGATTATCGATTACTTGGAAACGGGGCAAGTTATCGACTATCGGAAACCAACTCGATCTGCGCGGGGACTAGGACAACCTACAGCTTCAAGTCTCTAGCTCTTATAGATCCTTGCGTTCATACATACGGACAGACGGACGGACAAACGGACAGGGCTATTTCGACTCGTCTATTGATGTTGATCAAGAATATATATACTTTATGGGGTCCTTTTGCCTGTTACATACATTTGCACAAATACAGTATACCCATTTTCAATGGGCTCAGGGTATAAAAATATGCAAATTCAATGGGGCATTGGGTGTGAAAAATTGAAATTGCTTACATCAAGAACTCGAGAGATCTTGACCCCTCCAATTGGCGATCATGAAAAACTTGAAATATTTGCAAATATCTCATATAGAGTCTAGAGTCTAGAGTCGAGTATCTGGTATTTGGAATTTCACTTCCCGTTCTCTAGAGAATGGCCCAGCCAATTCCGACACAAATTAGTTTTTCGGCACATCATAAAAACGTATATATATATAGATGTATATACATATAAAGCTTTCGATTTGCACGCTTTATTCATGTCGGCTGCCAACTGGTTGATCGAACTGCAATAAAAAATTTACAAATAAGCCAATTTGAATTAACTGCTTTGGCTAATGGCACCTCTGATTTAAATGCATACAATTGTGTACAGACAGAAGCCATAAGATTTATTTGAAATTCTGATTTCAATTTTATGCAAATGTCTTATCAGGGAAACACCCGACAGAAATTTTGTTGTCAACAAAGTTCAGCGGCTCGAGACTGGCGCCAAAATGTTGTTTACCTTGCGAGAGAAAGTAGTTGGCCTTGACAAAAACGAAAATTTGAAAATTCCAGAGGAAAAAGTCGAGCAGTCGAGCTCTGAACTCTCCCGTAGTAGAAAAGAATCCCCGACATTGGAGGGGTGCATTAACCCCTCCCCAAAACGATTGCAATTAATTTGCCTTGGCTAAGACCCCGCCCACAAAATGACCATAACAAATCGAACGTTGACGTCAACCCGAAGCGATTTATTTGATGTGAGCTAAACAAATTAAAAAAAAACATTCCAAATCGAATGCGAATGATAAGCGTCAGCGAACGCGTAGAACCAGTAGTCGACAGCTGCTCCTCCCTTGTCCCGTACTCCAAGATTAAAGACACATTAGTTTGCTTTCCAAAAGATGAAATCAAATAAAATAATATGAGAGATGTTTAAATACGTTTCGGCAAACTAGATCCGGTTAGGCTAGTTTCAATTTATGCTCAAGACCCCAGAGCTGAATCAAAATTCTAAATTAGAAAAAAAAAAAACGAAAAACAGGGAAAGAAGAAAGAAACGGCAACAAACAAGTCAACGCTGTGAAAGAAATCCAAAGAGCTTGGGAATTCCCAAACAAAAAATACTGGCCCAATAGCCAATAACAAACTCCCATGACGATCCGCTTGGCTTGAGTGTAACAAACAAATTTCTTACTCTATCATTAGTCAAAGCAGATGATCTGGCCCGGAGGCAAAGAAATTGATTGGCGCCAGACGGCTGCAGTTTTTTTTTATTTATTTATTTATTTAGCGAGTCTGGTAATTCCCAAAACTTGTGCGAATTGCTTATCGAGCGTATTAAATTAATTTAAAAGAAAGTCATTAATACAAATCAGTCAAATGAAGTCGACTTTAGAATACGCCGTATAAGTCAACTTCTCAACTTGTACCAGATATTCAAAACCTTATCAAACGAGATCGAAAACTTGATATTGACTGGCCATAGATAAAGTTGGAAAACCGCATTTGGAAATGAGCGTGTGCTGGTCAGGCACAATTTTGAAGTTTACGACGTTTGTGGAATTTTTTTTGTGTGTAAACTTTGTTCTCGGCAATTTGGCGCCGCCGTAAAACAGATCGATAATTAATTATCGATCGCAGCGAATATTATAATTAAAATTTGCATTTAAATTAGAACTGTCACAATAATCGACCAAAACTGCCAATGGAATAACAACACAACACAATTGGGCTGCTTAAAATCCAAATAAACAAATTTAATTATTCATCATATAAATAAAACTGAAATATTAAATGTACCCAGATATGCGAGATTCTGGGCAATCAACCAATTTACAACATTTTATGCTTGAACGATTACTAAATCATTGGCGCAAATGTCTTGTTTACAAAATGAAACATATAATTAATTGAATAAACTCACTCGGGCTACCGAAAGGTTGCTTTGCTTCACCTTTGCGTATGCTTCCCATGTCAGTGAACTTTGGTTAAAATCAGAAACGCATTTTGTCGGAACTGGATTTTGGATGAATTGATGGCAATAACCCAAAAATGTAAAATTATTTTACATTTCCTTATTATTTATGGCTCATCAAGTGACATGAAACAAGTGCATGAAGACACCGTTATCAGAACTGAATAATTTTTTAAATTTATTTCCCAACTTCATGTAGATTCGGCAAAGTTGCCACTAAGTCAAAAGTATCGACATATCGATATATTGACACAACGATGTTTATTTAACAATCGATGGGCCGCATTCGATATTGTAAAGAACAGCCGGCATAAGCACCGCGTTCTAGATTTTGTTGCTCGGAGATTATAAACAAACAAAAAATGAGGGAAAAAGATTTAAAGCGTGCTTATAACAATGTTTTGGCTCAAACCATTTCGACATCACAGAAGTTCCTGTTCGCCGGCAATCTTTTTGGAGATATTTTTGCCCTCAGGTAGAGTTTTGGAGCTGAACAGGCTTACAACTTGTAAGTTACAAATAATTATTTTGCAGCTTAAACGAACTGGATAAGTCCACAGAGGAACCCCCCAACAAGCTGCAGATATTTCCACAGGGCAACGATGTCGACGTCAATTGCCTCGCTTTCCATCGCGACTTTCTTATAGTTGGCGCCATTGGACTCATCTACGGCGTGCAGTGGAACGAGGAGGAGCAAACGTTGAGCACAAAGCGTGCCTGGGAAATCAAAATACCCTTGCAGGTGGATGCCGTGGAGGTGCCTGATGTCAACTCTTTCTGGCTATGCACCGAAACGGATACCCTGTACGCGGGCTGTGGCGATGGTGTTGTCTATCAAATTGATCTGGAGGATGGACGCATACAGCGTGAATATCGCGGTCACACAGACTACGTGCATTGCGTCGTCGGCCAGCCGGACGGACGCATCTACTCTAGTGCCGAGGATGGCACTGTTCGGCTCTGGAACGACAAGCAAAAGGAACCCACAGCAATGATAGAGCCGTACAAAAATCCGCAACTGCTGCGTCCGGATTGGGGGAAGTGGATTGGTGCTGTGTCTGTCAACGATGACTGGCTCGTATGTGGCGGCGGTCCACGTGCGGCTATTTGGCATCTGCGCTCTATGGAATGCACCCGCGTCTTTGACTATCCCGGCCGCGTGCATGTGTGCGACTTTGTGGACGACTCAGTGCTTATAGGCGGCGAACACAACCACGTGCAGTTCTATACGCTCAACGGCACTCTGCAGGCGAACATTCCCGTAGAGCATACGGCCAGCTACTCTGCGGTGTGGCAAATGAGTCCCTTCAAGTTCATGTCCATTGCTGGCTTCAGCAACAAGTTGCACATACTGAAGGATTTTCGTTTTCTCGATAGCAAAATTGAAATGTATGGCAACTTGCAGGGTGACGACGTGGAGAACGAAGAGGAGGAGGAGCATGATGACGAGGACGATGGCGAGAATGATACGTTTTAGCTTCAAACTGCAGGCACATACACATATTTGTATATCACTAATTGTAAATACGCTTTTGTAAAGTGTGTTGTAGATGCTTAGTTTTTTTCTTTTTTAAATAGACACATGTTTGTTTTGTGACTAATAAACGCCACATTCAAATGTTTTATTTTTGAATAAGGCGTAAGTTTATTTGATGTATTTTGAACCTAAACACTAAGGAAATTAAAACTTATGCCAACTTAATAACGTACTTTAAAGAATTAATTTGTACCTGAAACATTAGTCCGAGGCAGGTCACATCGATCACTCCTCGCCGCCACCCAATGGTATAAATGCCGGCAGCTGGCCAAGCTTGGGTCGCTGACGCGGGCCGGTGCTACCGGTTGAGACGTCCTCATCGCCCAAGCACTCATCCTTCCGCGTATCCTCTTGCGGATCTACCTGAAACTTATCATCACTTTCGCACTTGAAATATCGCGAACTGCTGGGCATTTCCTCGGCTAAGCAATTCGAAACAGCTGGAACATTGGGGACGGAGAGTTTAGGTTTGGGTTTAGGTTTAGGTTTAAGCCGGACTGCAGTCAGCTTGTGTTGCTTCATTTGCTTGCAGTAGACACAGTTGGTCAGTTCGCACTTTCCCCTACGCGCATATTCCGGGCACACAAACTCATGGCGCATATTGCACTTGAAATGGCAAAGGAGTTAATAAGAATCAGAGATTGTTTAGCGCAAAACTTACATCAGCGGCGCGCGCGCAGTAACCACGTAGAAAGTCAATGCATATCTCCGCCTTCCGACTCAGCTTCTTATGCAGATATGGACAATCCTCGCGCACACAAACGCCACGCAAATAATAACGACACACGGGCATCTTCTCCAGCGTGACATTGTGCGACAGCAGGCAGTCTGTTTTGGTGCACTCTCCACGCAGAAAGCTACAAGTAAACAATGACGAGTTCAAGTCGATGTGATGTGGATTGGGTATACTGACCTTGGGCAGATGGCTACTTGGCGCTTGTCGTGCAGCCGTCGACACTTGCCGCGACTGTGTGCCGCACACTTGCCAAGCCGTTGGTAGATAGCGCATGGCACATTGGTCTTCACCAGGGAACGATTGAGCAACTGCAGGCTGCGCTGCTTGGCTGTCATGAGATGGGCACGGGACACATGATTGGTGGTACGTATAAAAACGTTCCGTGTATTGGGCGAGGATACATAGGTCAAGCCGCCAATATCGATGCGCAGACGCAGACTTTTGTTTATGCTCAGCTGTGGGCTATGGGCAGCTACGCGCGTCAAACGGCAGCCGGAGGGATCTAACACGAACTTGGTGCCACGCACGAACAGTGTGCGACCGGTGGAGTTAGTTGACTTTGGCAGCTGCGACTGCAACGTTTTCAACGCTGGAGCTCTGGCATCCAGTTTGGTCAGCTTATTCTTAGCTGTCTTCTTGTACATGACGCCGTGTATGCTAACCATGCTCAGAGATTTGTTAACGCTGGGCTTCAACAAATGCGACTTTAAGCTGCAAGTTTTAATGTGAGTTGGAGTAAAAGTTGATGAGCCTTGCCTAGCTGCTTACCTCGACTTTCTGGATGTGATCGAATCATTTGTGCGTCTCAGAGCATAGCGTGCCACAAAGTCGCGCGAGCGACGTTTCTTGACAAGCGGTGTGCTGCTGTGGGCGGTAAGGGATATAGCGCGCACCAGTTTGTATTTGGTGCGCTTGGCCGCAGGAGTCGCTCTAGCTGTGGGCGTGGCCGTTGTAACTGTGGCTGGTTTTACTACGCTGGCGCCTTGCCTAACGATCTTTCGCTTTGATATGCTAACCAGAGGCGGCTGAACGCGTAGAATAGACGCGGGCGTGGGCACGTGGGTTTTCACAGGCTGCTTCCGCACCAGACAAGTGCTGGCTTTGCTTATGATTTTTGCTGGAGGCGGCGTCACTTCGGCAGCAACAGTTTGCTGGTAATGCGTAATATGTTGTTGTCGTTGTTGTTGCTGTAGCTGTTGCATCTGCTGGAGTTGTAATTCCCGCTGGCGCTGCAGAAATTGCGGATTGATGTGTATGGCTGGTCGTTCCCATGCCTGGAGCGCAATGCTATTGGGTCGACCTTGAGCCTGCAGCGAACTGGCCATTTGGTTATGAAAATTTGGATTTATATACACCTTCCGTCCCACAGGGGGAATGTTTTCTTCGGCACTTATGTGTGGCAGCATATTATTCTTTTTTTATCACAATTTTTAAGCACTTTTCTTTTATTTTAAACGACTTTAATTGCCTTGCTTAAGGTGTTGAAATTTTTCTCATTTTACAATAAACTTTTATAACAAAGCCATCGTCACTGCAAGCACTTAACTATCGCTGGGTCTATCGATAGTTGCATACGCATGCATGTGAATGGCAAAATGATTAAAACGTGGGTTCAAAGAAATATCGATATTGATTAAAGAAGAAGAAAAACAAAAACGTACTTACTAAAAATTCGTTGAAAATGGGAAAGGACCGTGGACGAGGACGTCGGAATTTTCAATCCAAACCGTATAACAAAAACAACTGGCGTGGTCAAAAGAAGGAGCATGCAAGGCATAGCAATGGAAACAGTCATTCACAGCCTCGCAACAGGTGAAGTACAATGCATAAGATTTTTACTTTTTGTTCTAACCGGCTTTCATCACAGAGCACCACAGCAAAAGTGTACACTCCGCGAGAACCAAGTGGGCATAACAGAATTCACAAATGCAGAAATAGCTGGCTTTACGGGGATTTTGAAATCCAGATTCTCCGATTTCCATGTGAACGAAATTGACACCGAAGGGCACGTGCTACAGCTGAACGATCTCAAAGTGCCAAAGATAGAAATTGAACGTTAGTAGCTGCATTTTAAGTAAATTAGTTGAAAGTCCTAACTGTATATCCTTTGCAGCTGTGGAGCCTGCTTTGTTGGACGAATGGCGTGAAAAATTGGCCACAGTTATTGACGATACCATGTGGCAGCAAATAGCTGACTTGTCAACAGCCAAATATGATGGCAAGTGTGAGCAGAAGGTGGATATAAACGTTAGCAGCCTCACCAAGGAGCAGCGTACGCAAATACATCACCTTGTTAAGCAGCTATACAAGAGCAAACTGGTGTCCAAAACACTTGACCAGCAGCCGGAGCAACAGGTGACCGGTGCTGAGGAACAGAAATTCATACGCATCTCAAAGCCCAAACCAGGTCGCTGTAAGTATCCTAAATTACATAACTTCAACTTAATTTACATATCATCCTCTTACCCACAGCTGACAATCGATGGAACTTTCCCCATGACTTTGTCAGCTTTTTGGTGCACAAAGTTAACATGGACACAAGTGAGGTTGCCTCAACGCTAGCCAATCGTTTGACGTAAGTCCAGTTATGGGAAATGATGTGCTCCCCAAATTCGAATAATTACCAATTATTTTTCAACAGCCTGCGTCCCTCTCAAGTGAATTATTGCGGCACCAAAGACAAACGCGCCAAAACCACACAACGCTTTTGCATCAAGCGTCGGACCCCCGAGGCTATAGCCAATGCGGCTCGGGGCATGGGAAATGTGTACATTGGCAACTTTAGCTTTAGGCCCGATACTCTGAAACTGGGTGACCTGAAGGGCAATCGCTTTCGCATTGCACTGCGCCATATTACACATCCGCGGGAGCAGATCGAGTCAGCATTGCAATCACTGAAGGAGCGCGGCTTCATCAACTATTATGGCTTGCAGCGGTTCGGTAATAGCGCCAGTGTTCCCACCTATGAGGTGGGCGTGGCGCTGCTTAAACGCGACTATAAACTGGCATGTGAGCTTATACTGAAGCCGCGAGACAACGATGTGGAGTTTATGCGTGCCATACGCGAGGCCTGGTGGGAGAACCGGGATTCTGCTGCAGCTGCCGCCAAGTTCTATGGCAATAAATTCATTGAAAAGAAACTGCTGGACGGTCTAGCCACATACGGCGAGAACGATTATGCTGCAGCTCTGCGTCGCATACCACGCAATATGCTGCTTCTGTATCCTCATGCATATCAGAGCCTGATCTTTAATCGCATTGCATCGCGGCGCATTAAAGAGTTTGGCCTGAATCTAATACCTGGAGACCTGATTTATGTTGAGGACGACAACGGTCAGGAAGTCAAAGCTCCAGAAGAGCCAGTCCTTCCAGCTGAATCTGATGAAATCGTCGAAGATGACTTGGAAGGCGATGCGGACAATTTGCTGGAAGAGGAGTCAATATTTAAACGCAAAGTGCGGCCATTAAGCGCCGAGGACATTGCCGGCGGAAAATACAAGCTGTCGGACGTGGTGCTGCCGCTGCCTGGCTACGATATTACATATCCCAACAATGAATGTGCCGCTTGGTATGAGGAAATGCTCGCTGAGGTGGGCCTAAGCTCGGAGCAACTGCGGCACAAGGAGAAAACCTATGCGTTAGGCGGTGCCTATCGTAAACTGCTAATACAAACGGACGATTTGAAATGGAGTTTCCGTCGGTACAGCACACACGAGGACACTCTGATTGCCTCCGACTGGGAGCAGTTGAAAAACATTGAAGTAACACCAGAACCCGCCGAGTCAGAGGGAGAGTATACGGCCCTGCTGCTGGAGTTCACATTGCCCACAGCCGTTTACGCCACAATGTTCTTGCGCGAGTTATTCAAGCAGGACACATCGACAGCCTCACAAATGCAGCTGGAACAGGAACAAATCACCAAGAAATTGGCACAAGAAATTCCGGCAACTGATGCCGAGGCGCAGACGCAGCCAATTTGAAAATAAAGTTCACTCTTAAGAAAAAATCGATAAGGAAAATCAATTTACGCGCGTTCCTCTTGTGCGTGTGTGTGTGTGTGCGTTACTTCAAACCAACCACAACAATAACAATGCGCACGTGAGTGCACGCGCTCGTCCTCTCACGCTCGCGCTCACGCTCTCCGTCGCTCTTGCTCTCTCTGGCTCTCCTTTTGTGCAGCGCTCTCTTTGTGGCCAGGACAAGCTTTGAAGTCCTATTCCGTGGCCATTAGTACGCTGACAAGCGAGAGCTTTGGACGCGCTGCGCAGTTCGCAGTTCGAAGTTAACGTCGCCGTGTTTGTGCGTGTGCCTACATAAATGTTGTAAAAGGAGAATAACAATAACAAATAACACACGAAGTTAAGCAGAAGGCAAATTGTAAATTATATTTAACCGTTAAGTTATCGAAGCAAAAGGAAAGCACAAGGTGAATCATACATCGTTTTTTAAGTACACACACACAGACACACACACACATTTAAATGAGATTTAGGCGCGTACTTTTCGAAAACATTTATTAGCAATAAATAAACCGAAACTAAAAATATTATCGTGATTTATGCCCAGCAAAACGGTGTTCAAACAATTTAACCATATACATGATTTTGCATTGGCTTTGCATGCTTATCGATTTTTTATGCGTGCCTTTGCCCAAATCAATCGATAATGTGGTGTTAATGCGCTCTACAGCCACTACACGACATCAAGTATGGAAAGGTGGGCGGCGGTGGGCGTGGGCCGCTGGAGTATTAGTGGTTTATATTAGCTGATAGGGTAGCGAGCGGTTAAGGGGGCTGTGCATGTCAGAGATCGGGGTGGGCTTGGTTCACCTATGTCTTCATGCAGGACAGCGCCAACGAAATTAATAAACTAAATGCTTGTTTGGCGTCGTCTACCCCATCTGCCGTACAACACAAGACACCCATCCACCCACCCAAACCAGCCAGACATGGTTATTGGACATGTTATTGCTTGCGCGCGCACTCTTTGACCAACAGCGAGACGAAACGCTTCAACCAACTGCGTCATAGTTGAAGTTGTTTTTGGTGTAGTCTCGTCTTCGATTTTTGCGCCCAGCCCATGAAATACTTACAACGACTAAATGACATACTCTACATCTTAGGACTAATCAGTGCGTTCGATGTGTTTGCCCGCTCCGATTTAAATGAATATATCATCGATTTGCTCATCGTTGAGCGCTCGCAGATTGCATTTGCACAAATAGGCCAGAACTTTTTTCTCTGCCTTGGTGCGATTTGCGCCCAAACCCTGAAGCAGTGCCTCGATGCGCTTCATCGCGTCGTCGCCCGATGCCGCAGCAATAGCTGCAGGCGGTGCTGGTGGTGGTGGCGGAGGTGGCACAACAACTGCAGCCACATGCTGCTCGTCCATTGCCTCCTGCAGTGCATCGTCCTCATCCTGTTCGATGAGGTGGTCGGTGCTGAGGGCACGCCAACTTACATTTATGAGCGCCGATGTGGGCACAGCCTGCGGCAGTTCGTGCTCATTATGGTGATGGGCGCTGCTGCTGGGGTGTTTGTGGAGTCCAATAAATCGCAGCTTTGGCAACAAACTCCAATCCGAGTGTTCCTTGAGCAACTCTCGGCGTAGTCGCTCTCGTAAAAAATTCCAGCGGGTTATGCACGTACTGACTGGCAGTTTCGATGGGGTTTGCGCGAGTTATTGTAAGATGAATACTAATTATATATACTATATATATTGGGGCGGCACTTACCATCCGTTTCAAGGGAAGTTGCAATGCTGCACCACAGTTCCGTTTTCTTTTTCTTGTGCGAGTCGTACGGTGTTTTCCGCAGTTCGCGTTCGTACAGACTAGGATTGGCGCGCACTAGCTCAATAAGACGATTATCAAATTCTGCACTCGTGCACATTATTGTAAAAAATAAACAAACAATTTAGCTAATTGCATGCGCCGGAGTGCATCAAAACAAACACAATTCGATAGGTCGATAGGCGTTCCGATAACAACATGCGCGCAGTGTTGCACAACGTTCAACTGAAATTTCGTTTCATTTTGCGCGCCACTTATTGATTAAAGTATTGATTATGTTTTTTATGTACCAAACAAACGGCGACAGGAGACAACAGTTGCGTTTAACTAACGCTATCAGGCCGAAAAAATGGCCGCCGAAAACTATCATTTGAAATGGGACTCGCATTTGTCCTATTTGAACACTTCCATAGCCACGCTCTACAAGTAAGTATACAAAATTTTTTCATAGACGGTTACTAACCGAGCACACTCACCATCTTGCAGGAATGAGAAGTTTGCTGACGTTATGCTGTACAGTTCGTATAGCAACAATGGCATCAATTCGGATATACCCACGGTGGGCATATCGGCGCACAAATTCATTTTGAGCTCGTGTAGTCAGTTCTTTGCCACCATGTTCGAGACAGCGCCAATTACTGCGCCCAACGGCGTCCTCTATATTGTTCTTCCGCCCGATCTGAGTCATCGTGCCATACAAATCTTAGTGCAGTATATGTACAGCGGGGAGGCTACCGTCTCCAATGATATTCTGAATGAGGTATTGCGTGGCGGTGAGATCTTAAAAATACGCGGTCTTTGTCGCACCAGCGCTTCCAGCGGTGGCGGCAACTCTGCGTCGGGGCAATCCCTTGGACACCACCTGCACCACCAGCGCGAATCCAGCGCTCTATATGTATCAAATGGCACGCGCTCTTCGCTGGCGCAGCCACCGCCCATGTCGTCAGCACAGCTTCCCAGTGATATATATAGCACCAAGGCCAGCAGCAGCAGCAACAGCAGCAGCTCGGCGCGTTACAGCCTGGATCATCTGCATACGCATCCGCATCCGCACCAGCACCATCATCAACAGCAGCAGTTTCGCGGCTTGGGCGCTTCCGTAATGCCAAAGGACAGTCCGGTGATTGTCAAGTCACCCAAAATGGCCACCCACACGGGTCTGCTGAGCGTGGCAAGCAGCAGCAAACTGCTTGGTGGCGTTGGCGGCATCTCCGTCAACAAGGAGGTGGCCATCGATCCCGAGGACAAGTGCTGCTATGCAGCAGCCACTCAAGTCGAAAGTCTACCACAGTCAACAACAGCAACAGCTGTCGCTGCACCACCACCACCAATGTCCATATGCACAGAAGTCGGTTGCAGCAGCTGCCCGCTGGCTGCGTCGTCCACCGAGCCGGCGGACTCAACGCTACGCCGGCCAGAGTATGCAGATCGCGAGCGTCTTGTGGAGGAGCCAATCTGTGAACGCGACCGAGATGATGTGGGCCTGGTCTACGAGCGACGTCTACGCCGCGAGCGTTCCTGTGAACGAGGTAAAGTTTTAATGCTCAAGAAAAGCAAACGTCTTACATTGAATATACTTGTACTTTTAGCCCCGCCTCACGAGTACTTTGCGCATGATGGCCCGCACTATGAGCACGTGGTGAAATCCTATGAAGTGACGGCTCCAGTTGCGCCACGCCTGGCCACACCGCCGCATCCACACAGTTTTCTGACCATTAAACAAGAGCCGACCGATTGGTCAAATAATCCACCGGCAGCGTTGCCAAACGAGAACCACCACGAGATCAGTCAGGAGGCGCCGCTGTCGCCTAAGCAGCCGCTGGACTTTAAGATAAACGCCGTCAAGCTGGAGGCAAACAGCTCGCAACAGGACGAGTCCGAGGAGCACACGTTGCGCGATTACAACAATTTCAAGCTGCTCGTTTGCGAAATATGCCAGAAATCGTTTGAGGACACCAAGATGCTGGTGCGCCACCTGGGCACACATGCCGCCGAGCCAGCCGGCAATGTGATGGGCGCCAGTGCCAGCGGCACTGGGAGCAGCAGCAGCGCCACAGCCAACAGCAACCTGGCGCTGAGAGCATTGAAAACCTATGTGCCAAAGAAGCGACGCAGAGTGTCGGTGAGTGCCGTTGGAGCAGCTGTATTGGGCAAGCCCTTATCTCTCCCCATCCCTCCTCATTCGCATTCACAGCAACAGGAGAACAATATGGATCATGTGACACTGCTCTGTGACCTCTGCTCCACGTAAGATCATTTGGCAACGCTACCCATATGCCCAAAATATTTAATTTCGTTGCACTCTGTTGCAGCTCTTTCGAAACGCCCGCGGAATGGGTGCGTCACATGAATAGCCAACACACGGAAATCGAACTGGCCATGTTCAATAGCAAAAAGGATGGCGAACAGAAGGGGTGTGTGTCCTAAAGACCTGCCTAATCGAGCATATGTTGAACTCTGTTCACTTGTCCACAGCAGCAGCAGCAGCAGCAGCAACAACAACAGCAATTCTTCTACTGCCGCCGTCAGCCAAATCCAACACACAGTCGCCAGCTCAGGTGCCGCCACCACAGCGGCTGTGGCGCATAAAAAGTACATCAATGCCAGCCGGCTGCTGGTTGGCCAAAGCCTGAGCAACAGGGGCAATGGAAATGGTGCCACATCAGCGTCGCCGGGTCTGGCAGTGGTCAGTGCCAACACGTCGCCGGCATGAATCCTGTTGCAAGATCGGGCACAAGCAGATCCACAGCTATAGCTGCACCAAAAACTTGAATTCAAACAACAACAACAACAACAAGACCACCAGAAGTCAGGCCACGAGTGAGAGAAGCAATAAGATGAACATTTTTTGAAAAAATCAAGTCGTTCCAGTAATCAAAAAAAAAAAAAGAAACAAAAATCGAGAAAAATATTTATACGAAACAGCAAGAACCGTGATCAAAATGCCGCAAACACAGCATATTTTATAGAGCAACAAATGTAAAACTACAAAGGAAAAGGAAATAGGAAGAGGAAATTACTTAACTAAAACAACAACAACTTGAAACGAAACTGTAAACGAAACTTAGAATCGGAATCGTCAGGCAACGATGCAAAACAAAACCAAAAACCATACGATTAATAATTTAACTCTGTAGTATTTTTAAATCGATGTAGTTTTAAACTTTAATCCCCACTCGCGATCAACAAAACGCAATTAAACCGAATCCCCAATTGAAACATTTACCTTTTAAGCGTATATAAAATGTAATATTGTAATAACAATTGAAAACCAAAGAAAACAATTATGTAATTAATTTTTTTTTTTTTGGAATTAGCAATTGCTAATCTTAGTGCTCTGCCGAAATTGTCAAATCTTTAATGTGAAATGAATGTTCTTTTGTAATTTGAAGCGAACGCAGCGTTTAAATTTTGATTTCATTGAAAAACTTTTTCATTTTATAGTTTATATTTGAAAAATGTATTTGGTAATTGTCGCTGCAATGTGTACGTATATTTTTATAAACACTTATTTCATTAGAGTTTTTAAGAATTTTGTAAATAGGGTAAGTTAATTTTTTGAAGTCCGCCGAGAACATTTTTGAAAAACCAACAAAAGTTACTCATCTAAATGTGTGTAGTTGACAATTCAATTCAAATATTAAAGTTGTAATGCGGCATTTCTTCAATTTACAAACATTCACACTAAAAAACCAACGTGTATAAGTATGTGTGTGTATATATATATTTACAAATCAGCGTGATTCTTAACGTGCTAAGTAACCGCATGCGACATCAGACACACACACACACACACACACACACACACACACACACACACACACACACACACACACAAACGTACACAAATGTGTACAACTAAAAATCGAATATGTAGCAAAAGCGTTTTATTCGCATAATAAACAACAAAAAGTCGTTTTTAAATAAGCACAAAAAGCGCCAGTATTTAAGAGAGTGAGAATGGGAGAGCGTAAATGCTTGCGCTCTTCGAGCCCGCTCCATAGAATGTTGACTACAGAGAACGTGCAATAATGATGATTTTCTCTTATCTTAACATGTAATTTCCAATTGCCCGAAGTACTAAGCTATCGATCGCAAAGGTGAACAAGAGGAACAACAAGAAATCATTTTTAAATAAGCACAAAGAGCGCCAGTATTTAAGAGAGTCAGAATGTGAGAGAGTAAAAGCTTGAGCTCTTCGAGCCCGCTTCATTGAATGTTGACTACAGAGAACATTCATTAATAATGATTTTCTCTTATTTTAACATGTAATTTCCAATTACCCGAAGTACTAAGCTATCGATCGAAACAGAAAACCAAAACAAATCTGAATAGTCATGCGCACAGCCGTAGCGTTTCCAAGGCAACCTTAAGTTATGAGGATAAAGAATTTTATAGTAATAAAAGCTCTGAGGCAATGTTCGACTCTAGTACTAAAAATTAGAGAATTATGTCGGTTTTGTTCAGTTGCCTGCTGACATTGGCGAGCAAACGACGTTTTTGCTAAACATAAAAGATAAATTGCAATTTTTTTCCAAAACGAATTTTTTTGGCCGCATCAAACTTCAGCCTCTAATTATGAGCTCTGGAAAACATTTAGCCAAAGGTATGTATGTACATTTGTCGCAGACAAGTCTCAAGAATCACGCATATGACGCGTGTCAACCGGAGAGAAACAAGTTTACAGTATTAGGAAATATGCGAATTCATGGCGTACATTCTTATCGTGTTTGTACTTCAATTGCCCTCAAATTGCTGAGTCACTATTGGTTTTTCTTGCTGTAGGTTCCCCCAGGCCTGCGCTGCCGGACGATGGTGTCCCCCGCCTTTACTCCATGCGCTTCTGTCCATATGCGCAGCGCGCCCATCTGGTCCTGAATGCCAAGAAGGTGCCGCATCATAGCGTCTATATCAATCTGACAGAGAAGCCCGAATGGCTGGTGGAGGTTAGTCCTTTGCTGAAAGTGCCTGCCCTGCATCTGGTTGCCGAAAAGGGCCAGCCGTCACTGATCGAGTCCCTCATCATTGCCGAGTATCTGGACGAGAAGTATCCGCAGAGCCCGCTGCTGCCGAAGGATGCACTGCAGCGTGCTCAGGATAAGATACTGGTGGAGCGTTTTAGTGGCGTCTCCGGCAGCTACATGAAGATTCTGCTGCACGATGCGTCACCTGATGAGCTCTATACAGCCTTGGATATCTTCGAGGTGGAGCTGGGCAAGCGTGGCACGCCCTATTTTGGCGGCGACAAGCCGGGCTTTGTGGACTACATGATTTGGCCCTGGTTCGAGCGTCTGGCTATCCTCAAGTATGTGCTCGGGGATCGCTACAGCCTCGATAGCCAGCGCTTTGCCAAGTTGAGCGCCTGGATTGAGCTCTTGCTCCAGGATGATGTGGTCAAATCCTTCTTTGCCACGCCCGAGCAGCATGTCGAGTTTTGGCGCACCCGCAAAGCAGGCAATGCCAGCTACGACCTGCTCGCCTGAGTCCCAGTTGCTCATTCAAAAGTTTTATTATCCAATCTGTACAATTGGCTTACAAAGTACAAAAATTGTCAGCCCAAACGAAGATCTGATCGATTTTGGGTTTGCACTTTGTAAGATTTGAGAATAGAATAAAGTTTTTGATTAAAGTAAGGCCGTATTTTTTATACCATTCAATGGCTCAAGGAGAACTGCACCAGGTTCAACTAGGAAGGTTTTAATTGGGAGCCGGATCAGTTTATCAAAATACAGAAATAAATTAATCCGAGAATCTTCACCTGGCGAGGCATTGGAACGAACTGTTAGCTTTCCAGCAAAGTTTTTATGTTGTTGAAAAATAGAAATTTAGTGACAAAAATAAAAATTAAATTGTCCGGCTAAAAGAGATAACCTCCTATGAAAAGTGTCTAGGCAAGCGAAGTTTTGACTGTACACGACTTTGTATTGGCCTGCACGTGTCTAGTTAGTCCAGTTATACTGTATGCATCTGCGACGACAATGCAAGCCATTGAAGCGCCGCCTCAAAAGGTTATCGTTGACACACAGCCGCCAAGTTCAGTCGAGTAATGCGAACCGTCAGGCGAAGGGCGTTTCCAACGGCCACTTTATAAAATGGCTAGCTCGAGTGGTTCGGGGCACCAGTTGCTTCAGGCACGCATCATGAGCAGCGGCAGACACTTGGCAAAAGGTAAGCAGCTTGTCAGTTGATTAAAGTTTCCCAAAAACTGCTCACGGAATCCGCTCTGCAGGCTCAGCGACGCCCGATGTGCCCAAAGATGGCATTCTGCGATTGTACTCGATGCGCTTCTGTCCGTTTGCGCAGCGTGTGCATCTGGTGCTGGACGCCAAACAGATACCCTATCACAGCATTTACATAAATCTCACAGAGAAACCAGACTGGCTCTTTGAAAAGAATCCGCTGGGCAAGGTGCCGGCGCTGGAGCTGGTGCGTGAGCCTGGCCCGCCCGTGCTGACCGAATCGTTGCTCATATGCGAGTACCTCGATGAGCAGTATCCACTGCGACCGCTCTATCCGCGTGATCCGCTGAAAAAGGTGCAGGAGAAGCTGCTCATTGAGCGCTTTGGAGCCGTTCTGGGCGCCTTCTTCAAGGCATCCGATGGCGGTGAGCTGGAGCCCTTCTGGTGCGGCCTGGACAAATATGAGCAGGAGTTGAGCAGGCGTGGCACGCCCTTCTTTGGCGGCGAACAAACTGGCATATTGGACTACATGATCTGGCCCTGGTGCGAGCGTCTGGAGCTGCTCCAGCTGCAGCGCGGCGATGACTACAACTACGATGAGCAGCGTTTTCCACAGCTGGTGAGTCTTTGAGTCAGTGTCACCTCCAACGCCTGCACACTGATGCCTGGAAATGCTTTACAGACGCTGTGGCTGGAGCGCATGAAACGTGATCCCGCTGTGATGGCATTCTATATGGAAGCTGAGGTGCAGGCGGAATTCTTGCGTACGCGCAGCGCTGGCAAACCCAACTATAATCTTCTGGTGAAGGATGCCTGAGCAGTGCCTGCAGCTTTATTCACATTTAAAGCATCAATAAATTTCTTGAGCTAATCCTCAAAGCCGACATCATATTGGGGCTTGCCCAGCCGCTTCGACTGCTGGAACTTGGCATGCAGCTGGGCATCCAAAGCACTTAGCTTAACGACCGCATCCTGTGCCAGCAATTGACACCATTTAAGCTGAAGTTTAGGCAGAGTATTAGCTTTAGATTGGGAAACATATCGGCAGCCACATACCAGTTGTTCATATCGCTTGGGATTTAGCTCGTAGTGCTGCTCCGTGGTATATTTGAGACTGGGTATGCGCTCGAACCACGGCCAGATCATGTAGTCCACAATGCCAATTTGCTGGCCACCAAAATAGGGCGTGCCGCGTTTAGTTAGCTCCTGCTCGAAGACATCCAGCGCAGACTCAAAGTTCTCCAGCGCATCCGCCGGTGCATTCTTGTTGCAGGTCAGCACCGGATAGACGGCACTCACAACGGACGCAAAGCGTTCAATTAGAATCTTGTCCAGCGCCTTTTGCAGCGGATCAGTGGGAAAGAGCGGTCGCTGCGGATATTGCTCATCCAAATAGGCGGCTATGATGAGAGACTCCACAAGCGCTGGCTGACCCGCCACATGGGTTAGCTGCAAGGCGGGCACTTTGCCCAGCGGGCTGTATTCCCGATACCATTCCGGCTTATCGATCAGATCTATGTAGATTTTATGATGCGGTATTTGCTTGGCATCCAGCAGGAGACGCACACGTTGCGAGAAGGGGCAGAAGTGCATGCAGTAGAGACGCAAAAGGCCATCCTCGGGCAGCACCGGCTTGGCAGAGCCTGCAGGGGGAGCGAGTATATAATTATTTGTTAGGCATACAAGATCTATAACAAGCTCCGAGCAGATTTCAATTGGGATTTATTATCTAGCCTGTATAATTCCAACAAGAGATTGCTACAAATAGCTAATTAGACGGCCTCGAAGGCGATATCATAGTTGGGCTCTCCAGCCTGACGCGTGGCCATGAATTTGGCATGCACCTGGCTGTCCAGAGCCGTTTGCTTGATTGCCTCATCCTGAGCCACCAGCTCGGCCCACTGCAACAGCTTCGCATAGCGCGTTTTATCCAGCTCGTATTTATCGGCCAGCACAAATTTGAGGGCTGGGAAGCGTTCGAACCAAGGCCAGATCATGTAGTCCACCATGCCAATCTGCTGGCCACCGAAATAGGGCGTGCCACGTTTGGTTAACTCCTCCTCGAACACATCCAAGGCGTGCTCAAAGTTGGGCAGCGCGTCGGCTGGCGGATTCTTGGTGAACAGAACTGGATACACAGCGCTGACGGCTGGTGCCAGACGCTCAATCAGTATTTTGTCCAGGGCCTTTTGCAACGGATCTGCGGGAAACAGTGAGCGCCCCGGGTACTTCTCATCCAGATACTCGGCTATGACAAGCGACTCCACCAGCGCCGGCTGGCCAGCCACGTCGGTCAGCTGAATGGCTGGCACTTTGCCCAGTGGGCTGTAATCCGTATACCATTCGGGCTTCTCGCTCAGATCAATATAGATCTTGTGATGTGGAATCTGCTTGGCCGACAGAACCAATGCGGCGCGTTCCGAGTACGGACAGAAGCGCATGAGGTAGAGGCGCAAGACTCCATCCTCTGGCAGCTTTGGCTTTGGTGTACCTGTTGATGACGCATGCACAGAGCAGGGCAGAGCAGTGAGTTGGCTGTGACGTCAGTGGAATAGAAGCGCACTACTTATTTATCTGTCTAATCGATCATGTGATATCGGTTAAAACGTGTTCCCGGCTGCTTTTCAAGGTCTTATGAGTGACATTGACGCCGCAACTTACCTTTTTTAAAGTGCTTCAGTGGTATGCTCATTATTCCAATGCAATTCTTGCCAAACCGGATAGTTTCTAAAGGTTTCGTTTTTGAGCTGTTTTATAACAAAAAACTGTAAGTTTATAAACAAAACACTAGCTTACAAATGAACTTTTACACTCTATTTTATACACAAATGAAGCTTTTATGCTTAACAGCTGTCTGCTGTGCTGGCAAGCTGTTATGTTAAACGATTGGCTAATGTCTGTTAAGTCTATGTACACGCTATCGATATGTTTTATTATCGATAGGCTTAACGAATTACAAATTCAAATCTGCCGAGCGGGAAGTTAAACTGTTTTGCATATGCTAAAAAGCCATTACATAATCGCTTACATACGGACATACAGACAAACATACATACATCATGCAAACATATATACATATACACATACATGAGTACATGCAAGCATACCAATTACATACACCCAATCACAGATTTACAAACATACAATAATACAGACTAGAAGTTAAATACTTTACATACAATCAAAACTGCACAAAATTAACATGATTGCTCGATAAACAGTTTTTTGCTGATCGATCAATCAATATGAAATAAACAATCAAACCGTTACACTTTAAACATAATTTATATTTCCATTAATTTCTTTTCGTATTTCTTTTATATGACAAACTTAGACAATTATTTTGAATTTTAACTAAAATTTAACTACCACAGATAGGTTGCAATTATATATTATACACATATATATACACACATATATATATATATATATATATATGTATATATAGATGCATACATAAAACATATATAAAGTTATGTAGATTTCGTATTGTTGTGTGTATATGTATATAGTAAATGTTTTGCTTTTGTTATATATATTAACATATATTAACTTGTATATTATGGTCGCATATATGAACTGTAAAATTACTATATTATATGTAATTCTACAGATGTAGTTAGACAATTTCTATATTTCTATAACGTTGAGATTTACACGAAGAATTTAATTATATATATGTATGTATATAAGCATTGTACGTACGTATTTTATATATGAGCGCATTATAAATTTTAATTGAGGTTTTCCGGAGTCCAGAAAAGACCGCTTAACTAAATACATAACTCTTGCACTAGGGCTAAAAAACTAGACAAAATGATAACTAATTAACAATTAAGGTAAACATTTATTGGAAATCTTGCAATGTGTGTTTTTGTTTTCTTTTGCCTTCGGATTAGCTTTCCCTCTCCGTTTTAGACCGTCGTATCCGGTGGCGGCTGGGCAATGGGCTGCTTGGACTCGGACAGATCCAAGCGTGTGGCCGGCGCATGCGCAGCACCTTCCGGCTGATCGGGCGCAATCTCAATGCGATGCGCCTTCCGCCAGACGACCAGATCCATGAGAAACGCCAGAAACATAATGCCAGCCGTAATGCCTGAAGTATGGAGGAAGAGAAAGTTAGTTCGTGGAGCTTCTGTTCCCGGAGCAGCTTACCCAAAAAGTATTGCCTAAAGGTGTCCGCATCGTAGAGCGAACAGGCGCCATGTTTGCCACAAACCGACTTCCAGATGAGACAGGCCGAGTCGACCACAGCGCCATAGATGATCGGACAAGGAACATTACCAAACAGGCCGATGGCCGACTGAATGACACCCATGGCCATGGCTTTATCTGGATGAAAATGGAAGAATGCTTCAGTTGATCAGCTGGGAATTCTCTGTAAGATTGGCCTACCTTTAGGATGTGTGCAGCGCATGACGAGCAGCATGCTGCCCACCTCGGAGGTGGAATGCATAAATACGCAAATGGCAAAAATCAATATAAAGTAGATGAAGTTCTTGCAGTTATTATCACAGTAACCATTGACTGCCTCGGCGACTGAAATGGACACGAGATGTAAGTGAATCCTCGGCAACAATTGGCGACCTTTTGGACTTACCATGTGGAATGCAGGCACAGTCGGAGTAGAGTGTGCGATTGTCGCTGGCGCGCAGCGTGGAGCTGCTGCAGCCGGCATGGCAGGCCGAGATGTACATTTTGCCATCGGTGCCGCAAATGGGCGCAAAATTCTCCTTATCACAGGTACAGTTGAGCACGGCGCTGCAGGCGGGCTCTATCATGGCGGGACTGCAAAGAGGAGGAGATACATTTCGAGTCGAATTCCCAGTTAGATGAGCTGCACCAACCTGTTGGCATCGCCCGCCTTGTAGCCGGCAAAATCGTTGGTGCTGCAGCCAATGAACATGAGTATAATCATTCCTGCGGAATAGACGAGCGCGGTAAATGCTATCCAGGCGGCGATACCCCTGGCCGATGGCTTGCGCTTCAATATGAATAGACCTGAGATAACAATGCCAATGCCCATGACCAGGATGCCGCAGAAGGCGGCTATCATGTTCGCATCGTAGGTGGCCAGCCGGAACTGCGTCTCCAGATACTTGGGCAGGAACGTGTACAGCCCGGCGATGGGCAGCAGATGAAAGACGCACGACGCGGTGCGGAACATGAGTATATCGTTGCTCAGCTGGCGGCGCACGGTCTTGGGGAAATCTAATCAGGCAAATCTGTTAAATGAAAGGCTCTTCGAAATTGTGGCGCCTGCTGCTGCTCACCCTTCAGCTTGGGCTTCTCCTCCAGCTCGGGTGCGGATGCACCGACGGCGGCAGCTGTTGCCTGTGCCTGCTGCTTGCCGCGCAGCTGCTTGGGAAACGAGAACATGGCGATTGAGGCGAGCAGCATTAGGCTGCCAATGGCGACGGGTCCCAGCCACCAGGCGCCAATCCAGCGGGGATCGCTGGCATCAAAGCCGGGATTGGCAAAGTTCACATACCAGCGCGTGCAGAAGCTGCCCACAATGAAACCCGAGGCGGGGCCCAGGATGCGCATGCCAATGGTGACCGCCATATACATGGGCGACTGTTTGCTGCCCACATTGTCATCGATGTAGGGTATGCCCAGGGTGGCCACCGCGGTCTGGCCAATGCCCGAGCTGAGCAGGCTGCCAAAGAAGATGCACAGCACAATGACCGTGATCTTGGAGTGGGAGGCCTGCTCCAGCTGGCGCTGCTCGTTGCACTCGCTGCCTGCCAGTGTGCCATTGCCGCCCAGCATGCAGAGATTCGGATCTGAGGCATTGCTCCACAGATTTTGTGACGCGGACGAAGCGGACGACGCGGACGACGGGGAGGGCGACTGCGGCTGGAGGAAAACGCTGGACTGCATCAGCTGCTCGCCGAAGATGAAGTGCGGCAGGGCGCAGGCGAAGGCCGCTATGGAGAAGAGCACCATGCCGCAGGCGATCCATCTGGGACGATGGCCACGCCCGGCAAAATATGTGAGCAGCATCGCGGTGCTGATTTGGCCCATCTCGCTGGCGCTGAGCAGAAAGCCCGTCGTCTTGGACTTGATCTGGAAGAGCTTCTCAATGGTGGTGATCACAGAGACAAAGTACGTCATATACATGCCCTGCAGTATGTACGCCAGCAGGAACACCACCATGAACACGTGCGTCGACGCAAAGCGGCGCGCCCAACGCGGCCGGCAGCCCAAGAGGCCGCAATTGGAGCCCTCGTCGCCGCCGCCATTTAAATCCGAATCGAAATCCGATTCCTCCGATTCGCTGCCATGTGCACGTGCACCACCGCCACTGCCAACACCACGGCCACCTCCAACACCTCCGCCGCCGGGCAGCTTATAGCCACCGGTCAAAGGCGCCTGCTCGTGCGCATACTTTTCGCGCAGACTGTGCCCGTTCCCGTTGTTATTACTGAGCAGCCCGTTCTTCAAATTGTTAATGTCCTCCGATGCCTTCCACTCGTTGTTGTTGCTCGGCGTGCTCTCGTACAGCATCGTTGTGGGCGTGGCCGGCGTTGCCGCCTCACCCAGCGTGCTATTGTGCTGCGCCAGCAGCGGCGTAAACGCCTGCGTCGAGTCACGCCTACCGCCTCCATTCTGATGATAGCCATTCCCATTGCTATTGCCACTCCCATTGCCATTCCCATTGCTGTGACCATTCGTTGGCTTTGGCTGCTTCTGTTGCCCATTTGCTGCAGCTGCTGCAGCTGCTGTTGGCGTCGCCGGCGGCGCCTCGACATCGCCCTGGCTCTTCATCATGCTGCACGTTGCGTATACGTAATGTGTGCCCGCTGGCTGTTGCCTGTTGCTGCTGCTGCTCCTGCTCCTGTTTTGCTCTGCTTATGCTGCTGCTTCTGCTCCTGCTTCTTCTGCTGCTACTCCTTCTGCTTGTTCTTAGTGCTTCTTGGATATTTGTTGTTCCATTTTCCTAGCTAGAGGGGGAGGGCAGCTACATTGGCAATGCTTTAACTTTCAATTGCGGCGCAGTCTTCGCTTTCTTCTTGGCCAAACAGCAATCAGTTTTGTTGTGTGTGTGTATGTGTGTGTGTGCGCCTGTTTGTTGTGCCTGGCCAGCAACGAGGTAGTTTTGGTTGTTAATCGCGTTGTTTTTAGTCAGTTACTTCTGTGTTGCAATATGGCAGTGTTATCTGAAAGTAGCAGAAAAGTTCAAAATAAATAAATATTAATAAATCATTCTATAAATAAATAAAGTATTTATATGTTCAAAAATATATGCACATTTAAAAGCAATTGAAAGAAAAGTGTTAAATGTAAACCTGCTGAAATTGTAATAAAATCTGTCAGCAGTATATGAATCTATGAGAATTGCATAGAAGAGTGCTCGAAGTTTGCATAACACATGCGCGCCTTTTGGATAGGCAACAAAATATTTACAACAAATTGTGTATATAATTTTACACTTTTTGTACGATTTAGACAATTATTGGAAATTATATTTGTTTATTTAAAAGCCGCAATTACACACACATTTCGTTGGACTTTGTATGTGAGGGTTAATCTATTATTTAATTTTTAATAAACAACTGCGCACGTTGTCTGCGAACAGGAAAAATCAAACTGAGCGCACAAATTGAAACGCAGACTGCAAAAAGCGCAATACAAAATACAACAAAAAAAAAAAGAAGACAGAATAAAAAATGTAGCACAAAAAACCAATTAAAAGCGCGTACAAAGTAAATACTGGAAGGCAGCAGCAGCAGCAGCAGCCGCTTATCAGCTCATGCACACACACACACGCATGCACACACGCACACACAAACGCACACACACATAGATAGAGTGTCAGCAAAACGCAGCCTACAGATACAGATACATTTACAGCTCTAGCTACAGATACAGATACTTATATGCACATATGCGCGCACTTTGTTTAGCAGCTATCAAAAAATAATAAAAAGTGAACGTTGCAAGCTTTTTTTTTTGGCAATAACTTTTTCTTTTCATTTTTTTTATTGAATTGATAACTGTTCAAGGTTAATTGATTAGATGTTTTTTCGTGTGTGTGAGATCTATAAATAAAATATGGTTTAAAAGAAAGGGAATTCCTTTTTTGTGAAAATTGCATGTTGGGTTTGTAATATATATTAAAGATTTTATTAGTGGGAGCAGCCTTAGTTAATCTGGGAATATAATATATATGTATTGCAGCTTTTAATTGTGCTTTTCGTCATTAAATGAATAAACAAATAAATAGGCAGCTGTGCAGTTTTACATAAGAAAAACAAGAGATTAAATAGATTAAGTTTTGCATTATAAAAACAGGAGATTAATTAGATCAAGTCGTATATTATAAAAATAGGAGATTAAATGGATCAAGTTTTTTTGCTCAGTTTAAACGGGTTAAGGGTATAAACAGGAGACAAAATAAATCAATTCTAACATTACAAGAGATTTAATAGATAAAGTTTTACATTATAGAAACAGGAGATAAAAGAGATCAAGCTTCATTATACAAAAAAGAAGGATAAAATAGATCAAGTCTCACACTACAAGAACAGAATATCAAATTGAACAAGTTTTACATTATAAAAGAACATTCAATAAACAGGAGATTAAATAGATCAAGTCTTACATCGGGTCTTACACAACAAGAACAGAAGATAAGATCAAGTTTTACATTATAAAGCAGAAGATAGAACAACTTTTTACCGAATTTCAATGGGTTCAGGGTATAAACAGGAGATTAAATAGAGCAATTATTAGATTATAAAAGCAGGAGATTATATAGATCAAGTCATACATTATTGAAATAGAGAGATTAAATAGATCAAGCTTAACATTAGAAAAACAGAAGATAAATAGATCAGGTTAATAAGATTTGCATTAGCCAAAGATGATCTCACAAATATAATGTGTGCCATAGAAAGTGCAGAGAGTAGGAAAAAGTAAATATTAAAACAGTTTGTCCAAATCCCATTCGGTTCGTATCTGTAGCTTTGCTTTTATTGTTTTTTGTTGGTTTTTGTTGCTGTCAACAATTTCAATGCCAGCCAAAATATTCGCAGTTTTGTACTCATTTTATTTTTGGGTTTATTTTTTGTTGTTGTATTATTGTTGTTGGTCTTTTTTCCTTGAGAGAGTCTCAACTTTTTATTGCGCGGCACTTCCATGCGGCATGCTATATAGTTCACGAATAAGTCTGAAATTCTATATAAAAAGCTATGACACAATAAAAGTCCTCTGTCCCCGGTCCCCTCTCGCTTTCACCCTGTTTCTATCTCTCTCTGTCTCTCTCTGTCTCTCTGCTCAACTGCAAACGCAGTCGCTGCAGTCGGGAAATCTTATCAAACTCGCTGATAATGAAAGTGAAATTTGCTGCGTGTGTGTGCGAAAGAGACGGCAGCAGACGAAATGCAATAACAAATGTGTATTGCATCTAGTATAGCTAACAAATACATAGAGTTAACTCTCTTTTATGGTATATATATACTTATATACATAAAACTCATTATGGTCTAATTTGTTATCTCTCAAACAAGTATAGGGTATATGCTGCGTCGTTCATTTGTTATGTGCTTAAATATATTGCGCATTTCACGCCAATTGTTTGGATTTGAGCAAAAATTTCCTTTGAAATGTGCTGAATTCGTACATTAACTAATTAGTTAGCAAATGATTTTTGCAAAGTTTATTTTTGCATAATAAATTGCCTGAAGCTGATAAGAATACATAAAATAAACTTAGCTGCAATCTGTTCAGTTAAACCGTTATTCAGACTGATTTAATGAAATGCGCGCTAAAACCGTTTGGGAATTCGAAACGAAAACTGTTTGGATTATGCCGTATATCATGGTGCAGCATATTTGATGTTTATTTGCGACTGATTTAAGCTGAAAATAACTGGCAATAACTACTAAATATGTTGATTACACTTGACTAGCAAACATTTAGAGATACGAATGCCCCATTCGTTGCCGTCTTTGCAGCTGCTGGCAATGCATGCAAATGCAGATACCCAATGCTACTTGGCCTATGCACTTGGCCAAGGGCTGGCGACTGGTTAGCTGCCCAGTTACCAGTTCTAGAGTTGAGCGAGAGAGAGAATGCTGCCCAAGTACCTGACCACCGAGGACAGGTAAAGCACATTGAACCCGAGCGCTTTGCTTGCCTTTTGCACTTCTTCTTTTTGCCACGAGTGTGTGTGTGCAAGTGTGTGTGCGAGTGTGTGTGTGCGTGTGTGTCTATTGATATTGTTTTAAATTTGGTTTAATAGATCGTTAATTGTTTCTCAATTTGTTGCTTACATAAACTGACACTTGGAGATTGCTTTTGTTTGAACCTTTGCTGATTTGTCAGTGTCAATCATAATAAATGCAATTAAAGCGTTTACGAAACTAGCCACAGATCCAACTAGGTTTCCATTTCAATTGAGCCACACACACACACACAGCTAACTGTGTGTGAGTGTAATAAATATTGACAAAAACCAAAAGTTATCAATGCTCAGAATCCATGGATATGGACAGGAAGTTAAGCGCAGCGACTAAGGTAGTGGGAGGCGGAGTCGAAGTCGAAGACGGAGACGGATCGGAGTCGGAGTCGGTTGGCGGCTTGGTGAGCAGCGCTCAGTGCGTGTCGTTTTTCCGGTTTTTCGGCCAGGCCAGGCCGGGCCGAGCCAGGCAAGTGGTTGCCACATCTTCCGTCTTCCGTCTTGGCCAAGTCGACAAAGGCGACGTAACTGCTGCGGCTGCTCGTGTTGTTGTTGTGGCTGACTAAGTTATTACGCGATCTTGTTTGGCTCAGGTGTGTGTGTGTATGAGTGTGTGTGTGTGTGCATTTGAATTGCGCAAGCGCAACTATTGCAAATTGCACGCCAAGCAGCTCAGTTGCTGTTGCAGCTGCTGCTGCTGCGGCTGCTGCTGCTGCTGCTGCATGCCAACATGCAACAAACCAGACACACAGGCAACATGGCCAACTGTTGACTAAACGCTGACAGCAACAACAGCAACAAGTGCCAGAAGAAAGCTACAACAACAACAACAGAAACAACAGCAAGGCTTAGAAGCAGCATTGAAAGTAAATTGTAGACTAGCACAAGAAATGGCCACAACAGTTGCTGATGAAAGATTGCAGGGGGAAATGAAAGGAGGGGGGGGGGGACATTCCCGGCCATTATCATGCTGGGCATCTTCATAATGAGCTAACAGCAGCAGCAACAACAGCAACAGCAACAGATAGAAAAAAAAAGCGGTTTGGCTACATTTCACTTTTAGCATAGAAATAATTTAGAACTTGTCTGAAACTCTTGCTTTATGTGGCCATTTATTAGTCAAGAAGTTCACCAACTTTCTGTCTATTTACAATGAGATGACTATGAAAATAAATAATAAATAGGAAGAGCAACATTCATAATGAGGTAATTAATTTTTAAGCAACCCAGAAAAGTAAATATATTTAAGATATAAGTGAGGGGGGAAAATCAGTTACTTTTCCGGTAAAAAGAAAGGAAAAAATATATTAAAAATAAAATATATATTTCTTTGTATTTGCGAACAAGTTAACATTTTTGTAGATTTTGGCATGGAATATCGATGGGAAAATATATCAAGCTTTAGACATTTAGAAAGCCACATTAAAGAACCATAAAAACATGAATTTTTAAATATAAATTTAATATGATAAAAACTTCTGATGCTTTATAAATCGATTCGATATATAAATATATGCTTAATAAATCTAGAGAATAAATAATATAAAATAAACTAAATCAATCGAACCAGTTTTTTCAGATTTCTGGGCTGAGCATTTTTTTAGATTTGGGTGTTGAAAGAGAAATCTAGAGAAATGAGAAATCTAGAGAATTATCTAAATAAAAAGTGTCAAGGTTTGCAAACTTATAAGGCTAAGAATTTACTATAATATATACATATAGGTCCCAGATTTGAGCACAGTCTATATTTAAGTTCTAGTACTAGAGAATAAACTATATACAAATTGTTATTAAGCTGAGAATAGTCTAAGTTGAGAACAGTCTAAGCTGAGAACAATCTAAGCTGAAAACAGTCTAAGCTGAGAATAGTCTAAGCTGAGAACAGTTAAAGCTGAGAACAGTCTAAGCTGAAACCATTCTATAAGTATGGTAAATCATTTTTGAAGCAGAGCTTTCGACTGTGTCTGGAAATACAAGGAAAGGAGAGTTAACAAGACCGAGATGTGAGCACTGGCTGCTCTTCAGTTCAGAAATGAACAAACTTCAGATGCTCGCAATATCTAGAGGATGAGAAAGTCCGAGACATGAGCACAATTCACATTTAAGTTCAGTTTGTTGTCAGCTGAGAGCAGTCGCTTAGCGAGTGATATATATATATATATATATATATATAAACAATAACTGAATCATCGGGTAAAGTATCTAGCGAATGCGTCACATTCTCGGCTCATGCCCGCATTTGAGCAGCTATCGAAATCGCCAGTTTATTATTTTTTTTAGTTTTATTTGTTGATTTAAGTTTCTGCCCATTTGGCGTGCTTTGTCGCCTTGACTTTGACCTTCACACTGAAAACCGAAAACCGAAATTAAAACCAATCCAACACAACAACAAAAACAACATTTATTTTGTTGCGAATTTGTTTTCGGTTGTTTTTTTCTTAATTTCTTTTTAAACAAAACTTTAGACAGTCAGACGGCGAGAATAACAAAAAGTATCGAAGAAATTTGTTTACCACATTTACATACAGCTAAAAAACGCATTTGTATGCAGATATATATGTGTATGTGTGTGTGTATCTCGGGCGTATTAGTGTGTATCTCAGTCTAATTGAAACCGCGTTTTTTAAGCGGAAAGTGCCAAAAAATTAACTGAGCTGCGTTTTATTTAATTCTATTTCTCGTTTCCCGCGGAGAGAAACGTGATTCATTGCAGTTGTTTGTGTCAACTTTTGTGTTGTCATTAATTTTTGTTTAAATTATGATTTTTATTTGTAATCCTATTATGGCGAAACATGAAAGTGTGCGCGGCGATTATGTGTCCAAATTCAGAAAATGCGGCTTATAAACAAATTCGATTATATTCGAGCAGTTTGGCAATGTGTGCGATCACGATTACGCTGCCGATTATCGGAGAGCTACGTATATGTACATTTGGGCTTTAAAGTGGAACACGCGTGTTTTATTTTTTTTATGTGGTCTGTCCATATGGTATTTACATATGTATACATGATTCATGGCGCGATGACAAAAGGTGCGGCAACAAGAAACCCAAAAAAAAACAACAACAACAACAACAACAAACGAAACAACAAAATAAACATGCAGCAAAATAATTACATATTTTAACGAACTTTTTTATGCACTGCCAAAGAAATATATATAAATTAAAATAATTATGGGAATATTTGGCATATTTATTTGAGTTCCAGTTGGAAGCATATTGCGAATAATTTGTTATTATTTCATTAAATAACATTTAAACAATTAAAATCTGACTCTGAATACTTTTAATTGAACTGGCTTGCTTTTAAGACTATTTCCACACACTTCCACCCATTTCTCACACGTGAGACAACTTCACATTGAATTTAAGGCGAAACGTGGCCAAACACATGGCACAGTTGATATGCCCGCTTCGTAGTGTACACCAAAGCCCAGCGTTATCCGTAAGATACACAAAGTTTATATATTTTATTTATTTTGTGCGCAGCGCTTGCTTTTCTTTATATGCGCGTTTTTTAACAAAAAACGGAGGAGGGGAGAAAAAACTAACTTCCTTTTTGACGGCGCTTGTTAAAAATGCCAAAAAGCCAAGAAACGAGGCAAAAGAACAGCAGCAGAAACGAAAGCCAAAAAAACAAATAATACAAAATAAAAAATAATAAAAAAAATAAAGAAAAACAAGTACGAAAAACGTACAAAAAATTAACAACCTCAAAATGGCAGCGAAGTGTGCATAAATTTTTAAAATGCCCGCAACAAGCGAAGCGACAGCCGCAAAAACCTGCCAAAAAAATATAAAAAAATACAAAAACAAAACATAAAAAAATAAAAATAAATAAAGACACAACAAAAAATAAACGAACCTAATGAAATGCAATCAAAAATGCATTTTAAGAGGACTGCATTAAGTCGGGAGCCAGCGCGGCCCGGCCCTGCCCGGCCCATCCCGTCCCGTCCTGGCCAACTGAAGCGTTCCAATTTGGTTTTTCGTATCTGCCGCGCAGATCACAGCTCGGCGCTGACGTGCGCTGCGGCAGCCCAAAAGAACCAGCAGCAGCAGCCAAAGAAGAAGAAGCAGAAGATGTTCAAATTTATTTAAGCATATTGCCGACAAAAATTGGCAAGAACAAAAAAAAAACGAGAGAGTGTGGATATCGCCGGCACGCTGAAGTTTTAATACCCTTGTAGACATTCGTCTTTTTTGGAAGATAGTTAAGCTCGCAAATGCTGAGCTTCATGAAAATATCTTGGATAACAACAAAATTTGCCATAGTCGAACCTACTTTTCGACCGATGGTTCCTATGGCAGCTATATGATATAATGGGCCGATGTTGATAAGATCTTACGTATATATGAGGCGCATAGTGAAACTTATAAATTCTAAATTTGGTCTAGATATCTTGAAAAACAAACAAGTTTTTCATACTAAGACAGACTTTTCGACTGCTCGTTCCTATGGAAGCTATATGATATAATAGTCCGATGTTAAAAAGATTTGGTGTATATATATTTGAGGAGCATATAATTATAAATGCCAAGTTTGGCTGGCCTGCAACAGAAAGACGAACCTATGCAATGGCTCAAGAGGATAGCTACAAAATTGAGAGACTAGTTCGCATAGAAGCGGACAGACAGACAGACAGACAACTATAGTTATAGGCTAAATCAACTCGTCTTTTGATGCTGATCTAGAATATATATACTTTATGACATCAAAGAAGTTTGCACACATCTCATGACAAACTTATAATACCCTCTACAAGTGTATAAAAGGAGTAAAATAAATACAAGCGATTGCCTTTTGCTTTCCCCCCACAATTTACATTTGTCATTTCGGCGCACAGTGTGGCAAAATTGATTTTTAAACGTACTCTATTTGTGTTACTCTAATTATTAGAATGTTGTGTACATTTTATGGCTGCAGAAGCTCGTTAACTATTTATTTCAAATCAAATTAAATTTTTAAATTAATATTTTAAAAATAATAAGCCAAAATTTGAACTTAGTCATTTGCTTAAAACACAACTGAGGCAAAATCCGGGAATAATTTACTTTGCTAACAACAATTGCATTTGTTTAAACATATTTGTTAATTGACAATTTTGGGTGAAAAAAATAAATCTAAAAAGTCCAGTAAAGAGGGAGATGTATTCAGGAAAATTTAAATGAATTCAATTGACTTGAAAATACTTTATGTAATCTTTAAAAGTTACTTCCAATAAACTAAGTTAGATCAAATTTGTATTTTTTGACACCGAACTTAACAACGCCCCTTTTTGCATTAAATGCAATTAGTAATATTTTCACTCCATTTTACATGACCTTTGCCCCACTGCGCTGCACAGAAGGAGTCATCGTTGTCAACGTCAAGAGTGCGTTGCGGCTGCCATTTGTAAAAATAAATAAATAAGAAGAAAAAAAAAAGGTACGAATATTTGTTCTTAATTTAAACAGAACCTTTCGTCTGATTGATTGAGCTGCTGATTTAAGCGGCTTTTTGTGCAGGTCCTGGCCTGGACAGGTCCAGTGTCTGCTGCTGCTTCGGCTGCTGCTGCTGGCAGCAAGGTGCGTTGAGGTGTTAACTTGCCTTAAATGTTCTGGGCCGCGGTACCGTTATAACGCTAATTGAAGTCTTATAAATTGTTTCGCAGTTGACGTTGATTTCATTTTGGCCTTTGGCTGCTGCGGCTAATTTAGCAAAAATACTCGTAAATTTGTGTAGTGTATGATGGGCATTGATTTTTGCAATTAACGCCCAATTATGGTCGGATACACACACACAGACCCCTCGCATACTCTTAGTCATGCGTTTGCCCAATGTTCTACCAGATCTATTTGTATCTGGGAGCTACACTCAAAGTGTCAAGTGGTTGCCCAGAGACATGGGACTGGGGTTCCGGCTGAGCTCTCTAGTCACAGGTTCTGCTCGTGGTCTCTTATTCATCATTATTTGTTTATGAAAGTACTTAGCTGTTTTTTGCGCCGCACTTTTTGGCTGCCCCCCCCCCCCCCCCCACCCCTCTCTCCCCTCCCCCGACGCTCTTTTAACAATTGTTTTCAATTGTTTAAAATTCTGTGCATAATTTTTTTTCTTTTCCTTTTTTGCGTGTCTTTTGTGAATTTTTACTAAGCGCCAAGTGGCCGTTTTTTTGGCGTTACATTTAAAATGAAGTGTTTATTTAAGGCTGGGCCCAATACACGGATGCGTATTTGGGGTTTGCTTTTGTTGATTTGAAAAGTCATTTACTTACATATTGTTTACTTTAGTTGAAGTTGGCTTAGGACTGGTAACTGCAAAATAATTGAGAAATAATATGAGTTAGTAATGTTTATAAATAATCATAAGTGCTGATAAAGATTGACTAACTGCTAAAGTAATAAAAAAAATGTGAATTATGTGTATTATATACATTATATATTATATTAAATATTATATACATTCATATTATTTTCTAGTAGAAGTTTTTAATAAACTAAACCAAGTAAGTTTAAGTACTTTTTATATCGTACATATTTTGTCCATATTAAACACAGTTTTCAACCCAATTGAAGAACTTGGCTATGTAAAGAATTAAGGTTTCTTTTTATGTATAACTTGCCAATCTTAATTAACTGGTTGTTTTTTGCCGAGTAATTTAAATGCAAAATGCTTGCCATAAAAACAATAACAACAGCAACAGCAACCATTACAGACTGCACGTTTAGTTGGCTCATAATAATTATAGCAGAAGTGATTAACAGCCATAAAACAACGACAACAAGAATGAGAGCAACAGCAGCAGCAACAACAACTAGAACAACAACAGCAACAACAACTTGAGCTGATCAGCAAAACTAGTTTGTCGCTGGGTTGCGTGTGAAAACAATTTATGAACGAGCATTTAAACAATTTTTTGCATTGCAACAAAAAATAATATGCAATAAAAAACGCATTACAAGGGGGCAAAGTGTACAATGAATGCAAATGTTGTCTACAACAAAAACAACAACAACTCAAATCGATGTGAACGAGCAGCGACAATGGCTGCACGCCAGCAGCAACTACAAATGACGACAACAACAACTACACAACTACAACAACAACAATAATCAACTGTATATAAAAATAAAAGATAAATGAGCGCAACTGTCTGTCCGTCTGTTTCTTTCGCCCTGCCATGTGTGTGTGTGTGTGTGTGCGCGTGTGTGTAACAAAAGCAACAGCTCAACTCGCATTGCATTGAGATAGGTCAGTCACACACAGAAACACATATACACTCATACCCACAAACACATTCACACTCAGAGAGAGAAACACACAAATGCAACGCTGCACTCGCTGCCAAAGCTTAGCATGCAGTTAAAGCTGCAGCGCTGCCACAGCGACGCCAACGCCAGCGGCGACGTCAACTGCTCTAATTACTCTGGCCGTAAATCGTTGCTAGGGGTGGCCCAGCCGTGCCCCTCCTCCAGCCAGCTACCCAGCAGCCGTCGACCCAGGCTAGTGTTGCCAAGCGTTGCATCAACAATAACAACAACACTAACAACAACAAGTAGCATAAAACAAGTTTTTGAGTTAATCTCAGTCTCAATTTCAGTTTCAGCCGCAGACTCTGCTGGCGCTGCCTCTGCCGCTGCTGTAGCTGCAGCTGCCCCAATGTAAAAACTTACACAATCGCTGTGCAGCGCAGCGCACGCACACAAATGCAAAAGCATCTGTGCAGCGTGGAGCTTCCCGCTCAACGATTCACTTTTCTTTGTGCAATTCCAATAATTTTGCCAGAGCGAGAGAGAGAGAGAGCGAGCGTGACAGCACAGAGAGCGCGAGCATAAGAAATCAGAAAAAAAAGCTCCAGCGCAGTCACTGAGAGCAGCGCAGTCGGTAACTTGCACTTTCTGCTGCACTTTTTGGCTGTTAACATTGCAATAACATAAATAGTAGTAGACTTTTATTTCTAAGCTATAAAAGTAAAATTATTTAAGCTTTGTGTTTAAATGTAAAAGTGACACACATGCATGCACAAATTTGTAAATAAAAGACGTTGATAAACTTTGCATAGCTTTTGCCGCGACTGCGTTATTTAAGCTATGTATATTTGGCTGGGGACCGGGGACCTACGACAACAAAATAAATAGTGCGCCGAAAAGCTAACGACGCAATAAAACGGTAAACGCCCTACAAAATATTTCAACCCCTAAAGCTCAAAGCTTGCGCTATCTCTCTCTCACACACACGAAAAAGAGGGCGTCGCATTACATGATACACAATACAAAGAATATTGCGCAATGGCCAAAAATAAAAAATGCCAGACAATTGTCTAGACATAGGCAGAGCAGGTGGCCTGGGAGAGAGGAGGGGGTCGTAATTATGAGCTGATGTGCACTCACTAAGTTTTAATGATCATTAAGGCGCTTGGCCATTTGCTTTTATTGTGACATAATTAGTGAAAGTGAAATTGATCAGCAAAATGCAGCAGCGGCAACTGCAGTCGTCGCTCTGCTGCGCATAGACTCAAAAGCAGCGCAGCGTGACGCTGGCGCCGACAGCGACGGTGACGGCGACGTTGACGCATTGAGAGAGTGCGCGGCAGCGAAATGAAAATGAAATTAAAATTCGAAATGAAAATGAAAATATTGCAAAACTTAAACACGCACATGGTCAGGCAACAGGCTCCCCATATGTATGTGTGTGTGTGTGTGTGGAAAGTGCATTGACTTTGCCTGCCTATGGACGAGCCTACCTTGGCGGTGTGTGTGTGTGTGCGAGTGAGTGTGAGTGTGTGCGGCACACAACCCACATAGCCGCTTGGCCAATTTGTATTTTCAAGTGCTGTCTGTTGCATTTTGCGGTTGTTTATTTATTGTTAAATGCAAATGGCGCAAGTGCTACAAACGTCTTATTGTGGGGCTGTGTGTATGTGTGTGTGTGTAAGTATTTATAAGTAGGGAGTGTAGACGCCCTTGCCAAATACATTCCGCAAAATAAATTTAATGCAGCAAAATAACATAGCCTAAAATCTCAGCTATGCTATGTTATGCTTAAAATCTCAGCTATGTTATTATCTTAGCTATGTTAAAATCTCAGCTATGTTATTTTGCTGCTGCTATTGAATGCACATAAATATATTTCTACATCTGTATATATTTTCATATATATTCTTTTACAAAATAACATTTAAATATATGCATATGGCTGTAATTTATATGCCTTCAAAGCAGCAGGCTCACCCCCACATAAATCAGACGTAATTATATAGGCGTCTTGGCCACGTTTGCCCACTTGGCGTATGCGCAATATTCGCGCAAATCACGTATACGCCGCGCTGTACGCAACTAAGCTGCACCGCCTGGTGCAATTTGTGGGCAAGTGCATACATTTTCGCAAATAATGCATATAATCAGAAAAGTAAAACACTTTCATGCCGTTTAGTGCACGCGCATTGCATTTGGATGCGCTTGATTTGCCTCATTGTTGTTACTTATTTGCGGTTGCATTCAAAGTGGCAACTTGTGCGCAACAATGTGGCATGCAAATTGTTGCAAATTGTCAACGAGACAAGACCTGGCAAGACAAGCAGCAGAACGCACGCACTCAAAGGCAGCCGCAAAACTAGTTTAGTAGGAATTTTGTCGCTCCACAGCGGGTTACGTGGCCATTCAATTGAATAAGTGGCATGCGCGGGTGGGTTTTTTTTTTCCTTTTTTTGTGGTGCAAAATGTGTGTTAAATTGATTGAAGCGTTGTTGTGCGAATTACGAACAGAGCGGCCAAATGCCATAAATTAATGCACACACATAAAACAAGTCTACTTAAAAATTGCATCTCGTATAATTTTCACAAAAATCAAACAAGACGATTCCCCAGCACATACAAAGACGGGCCTGCCTCCGCCTGCCTCCCTACCTGCCTCCCTGCTTGGGTATGAAAAGCGAAAACTGGGTCAACCTGATGCTGCTGCCTACGCAGCGAACGGACGTCGCGCCGCTGTCGTCGTCGTCGTCGTCGCTGTCTATCCGGCAGACGCAGACGCTACAAAAATGTAATTCAAGAGATATGCAAGCCAAAATTGTATCTGTATCTGCGCAAAAATTTTATAAAAAAAAACCAAATGTCCAAAATCAAATCAAGAGAGTTTCCAGCCGTGAGATTCCCTGCATCAAATTTATTTGGCTTTTTTAAATTAAGGAGCATATATTGCAGGCTCAAAGGAAAATTGCATTTCAGCTGCAGCTAAAGTTGTTACACCTTGCGTGCAGACTTTACAGGGTATAAGTAAAAGATAACTGCGAAAAATCACAGTAAAAAAAATATATAAAAAATATATTATAAATCATTTGTAGGCGCGCTGGAAAAGTAAAAACAGCAGCAACACGACGCCGAAAAATTTATGTATCTCTTGGATTTCACCCACGCCGCTGTTGATTCAACAACAACAACAACAAAAGCAACAACAACAACAACGTGGGTCAAGTTACAACTTGTTTTTGGCTGGGTTTTTCGTGCGCATTCGCATTCGCCATTGCTTTTTGGTAATCGCATTCAAAGTCTTATCAGCAGCAGCAGCAACAATAACAATAACAACAGAGATGCAGACACGCAACAACAACAACATTGTGTGCAAATATGATAACAACAAATCACATTTACATTGCATTTGCCCCACTGTGCAGGCGGCCACAATGCCTGCGAGTCGTGATTCCGATTCCGCCTGCACAAACGTTCACTTTCAAAATCAGTGAAATGTAACCGAAAACAACAACAACAACAAAAACAACAACAAAAGGCAGTGAATCCATGTTGCATTGTTGTTGTTGCTGCAGTTCTCTCACTGTTGCTGCTTTAGTTATGCACATTATTCATTTGGCTTACAAATAGAGGTTAACTTATTGTGACTTGATCACAAATAAAATGCGCAGAGAAATGCCTTTATTTTACTTTTAGACATTTTGGAAAGGTGCAGGCGTCAAATTCCAGGAATTCAAACTAATTGTTGTTTTAAATCTTTAAATCGCATTTGAGCTTCGCTGCCAGTGTTGATAGTTGTTCAAATTGGCTTAATGACCACTAAGAGATGCCCACAAATTGAACTGGTTCTCTGGCACTCTTTCTCATGAACTCGAGCAGTTGGTGTTGAACAACTTCGTGAATATTTGATCTATTTTCTCCCCTTTTGAAGTCCTTGCAGAGGGTATTATAAGATTGCCCTTAAAAGTAAGGTATTATAAACGGCGTATTATAATATTGCGATAAAAAATAAAGCGACGTCCCCTGCCACATAAAGTATATCTATATATATTCTTCATCAGTATCCATAACCGAGTCAATATAGCCAGGTCCGTCTGTTTGTTTCTATGTATCTAATGTTTCTATTTGCAAAACTGTATCAAATTGAAGTACTATATTGTACGGCTCTTAGGGAGGCAATTGGTTGAAATTTGGCCTCTCATTTAAAAGCTTTTGTAAGCCAAGCACATGTTGGCCTTTTAAGACATTTGATTTCATGTTGCAATCCTCAAAAAACTACTCGTTGCAGCATAAATGTGCATCAATCTGCATTTAAATCAAACTTGGTAAAGTTACTTTGTCGACATTGGCCCTACCGCAATGCGAAGTAACACTCCGTCCACTCTCAATGTCATCGAGTTATTGAACCACATGACACAGAGCTGCATTAATGTAGATACATAAATACATGCCTGCATGTAATGTATCTCAATAAGTACGCAATGTATCTTTGTGCTGTATGTAAGATGCGGCAGCGGCAGCAGCAGATAAAACTTCAAGTGCAGAGAAAATGGCAGGCGGCCTTCGGAGCTGAGCTGACATTGAAGTGGGATACAGTAGCATGTCTGCAGATACATTTGTATCTTTGGGTTGACATAATTCATCAATGTTCGTATGCAAATTGCTGGCAAACGCTTTTCTTGCCAATTAAATGAGAAATGCCAAATAAGTCAGCGACTGCGGCAGTCGATGACGATGCGCCTGCGCTTGCATTCCGCGCAAGTTTCTGACCATAAACAGTTGCAAGTGTGTGTGTGCGTGTGTGTGTGTGTGTGTGTGGCACTTCATGCTGCAACAAACGGCAACTGCACTTGACTTACTTGCCGCTGCTTGCTGTCCGTGTGTGTGTGTGTGCGTCTCTCTTTCTCTCTCTGTCTTTAGCTGTGTGTCGCATTTGTATCTGCATCTGCGGCTGTATTTGTATCTGTATCTGTATCTGGTAACTGCCATCGCTGCCATCTGCGCAATGCATTTCACTTTCATTATGATGCAGTCGCCGCTTTTTGCCACTAAAAATGGCAACAAGCGTTTGGTTTTTCCAAGCCGAAAATGAAAACCAGTTAACGGTGCACACACGGATTTTCCCATTCGCTCTCCCACTCTCCCTCGCTCTCCCTTTGCTCTCTCTCTCTCTGTTTCGCTCTCCTCGTCTGATTGGCATCAGCTGACAGCTGCCCGGCAGCTGCTCACCTGGCGTGTGTAGGAGGCGTCTCTTTTGTCTTCTCATTGTGTTTTGTTTTGTTAGTTGTTTTTACTTTCTTCTAATAGATCGTTAGCTTTGCTTTGAACTTGCAACATTTGTTGTTGTTGTTGTTGTTGCAATTGATTGCTTATTGTTAAATGAAAATGGAAAGTCATTTTCTATGCAGCTGCCTCTTTTTCGTGAGTGCCCCCGCCCCTGCTCTGCCCCTCCCTACACACACCTTTCCGCTGTCTCCGGCGCACTTTCCCAAAAATAATCCACGGAATTTCTGCCTCAAATGTGCATTTGCGTGGGTCAAGCAATTCAATTCCCAAATTCTTGAATGGGACTTAAATTTGTTGTTGTTGTGTTTTTATTGATTTGCCAGCTGAGCAAACGGAAAGCGAAAGTAATTACTGTTAGTCATGCAATCAAACAGCAGACGCCTCGCACCCGGTTGCCTCTCCTCTATTTAAATGCTTCTCTCTAGATAAGTTCCCATTGCGCGCACTGCCCGAAACGGGCGTTAAAAGCGAATGCGCCGAAAGCAACCCCAAAAGTGCAGGCGACTAACATTATGACTTTCTCACAGTGTATTGTTGTTGTTGTTGTCCCGGTTACCCCTGTCGCCCCTGTAAGTCGCCGCCGCCGCCCGCACGCAACAGAATCAATTTTTATTGGTTACACAATGCTGGCAGCGCCAGTGAGGAGTGCATTGAACCCAACGACTCATGACTTTTAGTACCTCTTCGTATACTCTACCAAGTGCCAGCAGCTGTCAGGCACACCAGCTACATCATGAACTTGGACAAGCATTAAGTATGGAATGTGCATGGAATCTATATAAACGTATTTTAGCTAGCGCAGCCAACTTAACAAGGTTATCAAATGACAGCGTTGCCAGATCGCTCAGTTGGCAAAGGAAATGATAAGTTTTTTTTTGTTGATTCTTATTCTTTAACTCTTAAGTAGTTATCGCTTGCTGCTTAGGGTATTAAATAGTCTGCTTGCCATGGTAAAATGGTTTGTTCTTTCATTTTTTATGTTTGTTATAGCTTCCCCTTTTTTGTGTGTGTGTGTGTATATTGCTGTTGTTTTTGTTGCTGTTGGCAACTACTCTAAGTAAATAGCCACTGCATTTAATGGATATGTCCCCAGCATATTCGAGTATTTATATATTTGTATGTAGTTATTCGACATACTCTTTTGCAGTTGAGAGTTTCAGCTGAGACAATAGAAATTGATTCATTTCAGCATCGACTTTTGCCTCTTATCTATCCCATATATACTCTATACTTTACGGCCTATGCATCCCTGAGTTTCTTATCAGAGCACGGGCCATTTAAAGACCTACGAGCATTAACTTAAGATGTTTCCTATTGAAAAGCTCAAGAAATTAGCAGTTTTAAAAATAGAAAACTCTCTCGAAAGCCTCTGATTTTCGGCATTATAAGTAAACAGTCACGCCTTCTTTATATCTATTTACACTTTATTGCTGTGAATCGAATACGCATATAGTCTGTTAATTAGAAACGCCAGTTGCCCTGAATGCCTCCGCCGTAATTGTTGCGGTTGTGATCAAAATTCCGATTGGCATTTGCGTAGGCATCTATGCTGCCACGCCCATCGCGACTAGTAAAGAGATTATGATTATACTGAACGCCCGCCTGACGTCCCGCCTCATCCTTGCCAGCTGTCACAACCACAGAGCCGTGCTGCGGCTGCGGCGATCGCTGGCGTCGTATAAGCCTGTCAGCTGGAGTACCCGGAAGTACATCGGCAACAGCGAGCGCAGCCAGGCAGCAGGCCAGGAGCAGCAGCATGTAACACTTGTTGGCAGACATCTTTTGTCGGAGCTGGGAATACTTTGATTGGCAAAATTCAACTGTGTGCAGCTCGAGTTCGAGTTGGAGCTTATATAGCTGAACGGACCAAAGTGGGATTCACTTCTGAGTGGAAGTATCTTTGTGCCCAACGAACGGGACTTTTTTGTAGGCTGTGCATCCCCGGCTAGGGTCTTATCAGGCAAACACAAAAGCAAGAGATTTGTGCTAAAATTGTATGCCATCAAATATATACTCTAGACCTTATCAGGTCTGTGATGAGGAAGAGGCTAGGAAAAACCTTACAGTTCTATATATAACTCATATATTACATTATTATATGGTTATTCCTTTATAAATACAAATAAATAAGTAGATATAGACCTTATCAATAAGCCTCACAGGTCTGTAAAGAGAAGGAGGCTAGGAAAAACGTAACAGTTGCATATTTAACTCAAAAATTATATGCATTATATATTTATTTATTTATAAAAGAATTAAATATCAAAGGAATACCTTTAATTCTTATACGTTCAGCTAGACTTCCATATTCACACAGATCTAACTAATATTATACGGCACATTTAAATACGACCTCTTGACCCGATTTCTCAACGAAATCCAAGCACTATGGACCGACTAAATACATTTATCAGAGCTCACAACGAATTTGTCATAACTTTTCTTTTCTAAACGCATTCAAGAAAGCGGCCTACGCAATATTTTGTTTTAGTTTTATTTTTTTTCTTCAGATAACGCACACGAACAAAATGTAAATAAAAATGAAAATAAACCAAAATTAAATGGACATAAAACAATAAAACTAGGAAGCATAAAAAAAAAAAGAATTTAGTTCAAGCGAGTTCATTGACACACAAAAAGAAATCAAAATATTATGGACTCTGGCATGGTTTCCTACTTATAGGCGCCCCCACAATCTCGGCGTATCTCACGCACACGCACTTTTTTTTTCCTGAACAGTCTATGCAGAAAATACACGCACACGCACACACTATCTTGATTTGAGAACTTTTACTTATCGATGTTTTTTGTTTTTGTGATAGCAACGTCATCAAGTCTTCAGGTATATACTATATAGAGCTAGAGATAGGCGTAAATTTGGGAAATTGTGCGAGTTCCCTTCAACGTTGTGCCAATCTCTTGCCATGAACTTGAATTTCGATTTTGTGAAAGTGAGTTCTTGTAGACGACAACTGATTTCTAATCAGTTTGTTTTTTATTATTTCAAGGGGATTCTTTCTTTTTTTTTTTTGAATGTAATTAGATGTGTGTACTTGAACGCATTTGGCTTCTGGCTTCATCGATTTGAATGCGAAAGTCTGGCTTTTGTGACCATAGATCATTTGCGGGTGAAAGTTTTTTTCTTCAACTCGCTCAAAAAATTGTACACACACATGTTTGTGCGTGTGCGTGTGTGTGTGCGTGTGTTCATTTACTTTTATTATACGAGCTCTGGATCTCGGTTTATCTATTGAATATCAAGTTATGCATTTGAATATCGTTTTGTCACCTGCGGCTATTTATCTTCTCGCTGCGTGCGCTTTGTTTTTATGAGCCCACGGGGCGTATACTACACACACACACACACACACACACACACACACGGGCACAACAATAGCTGTGCGCTTCAAGAGCAGCTCAAGTCCGTGTATTTTTCTTCAGGCATCCACACACCAAAAAAAAGATCATAAAAAATCGAAATAGAAAACCGAAAGCATTGAAAAACCGACACGTGTTGCTAACTTGCCGAGTCATAATTGAATTTTTATAAGCCTGCTCAAACTGCTGGGCAAAGTGATGGGTAGGGGGGGGGGGGGTGGCATAGGCAACCTTTTCATATGGGCCATGTCTAGTATTAACCATTCATAGCTCTCGCACACACACACACACATACACCGACGCGCACTGAATGAAATGGTCGCAAGTGAGATGCTCATTCGTATAAATACAATAAATACAATATATAGATACATACATACATAAAAATATTTATAAATATATATTCATATTCATATCCATCTTTCAGATCCGCGCTGAAGCAAAATGCGTGGCGTACGCATGCTTTCAATATAAATTATATATGCTACAGTCATACGTCTCTCTCTCTCTCTCTATCTCTCTCTCTCTCTCTCACTATATATTTATATATATACACACAGAACGTCTATCTGAATGTGCTCTTAAGATTTATTTTGTCAAAAAAAAAAAAAAAAACAAACGACGACAAACAGATTAACAAAATTGTTTTTTGAGCTTAAAAGTCGTGAAGAACGGAGCCACGCCTCTCTTGTCAACTCTCATTTTTCTCTCCCTTTCTCTCTGTCACTCACTCTCTCTCTCTCTCTATCACCCTCTGTCTCTTCCTCTCTGCTTTTCAAGTTCGTCAACTAATAGCAAAACATGAAAATGCAAAAAATCAAATAAAATTTGTCTTAAGTAGGCAACTAAAGACTCTTGCTTGAACTTTGAGAAACCGTTTGAGCTAGTCATAAAATAAAAATAATAATTTAATAAAAATTTGAAAAGCTTAAAGAGCAGTTTGTGTTTTTTTTTATAAAGCTAGCTTGATAATTATATAGATTTACTAATTATATTAATAGAAAAAGCCCTCGACAGGAGAGCTTTCTAAGTGAACCGCTCATTAAGGCAATTAAATTAATTATAAAATTAATTTAATAATGATAATAATAATAATACTATTAACAATATTAATAATGATAATAACAATAATACTATTAATAATATTAATAATGATAATAACAATAATGATAATAATAATAAAAACAATAATAATAATATTAATAATAATAATAATAATGATAATGAATGTGATAATGATAATGATAATGATAATGATAATGATAATGATAATGAGAATGATAATGAGAATGATAATGATAATGATAATGAT